TGAAAAAAGGATCAATGAGAACGGGATACAACCTGATGATATATATAAGTTTGATGAGACTGGCTTTGCAATGGGCCTTGTTCCATCCCAGAATGTAGTCACACGATCTGAGTTCTATGGTCGCCGGTTGCATTTACAGCCTGGGAATCGTGAATGGGTGACCGTGATTGCATCAATTAGTGCGGCTGGTTTCGCGCTACCACCCACCATCATTTTGAAAGCTAAAAACCACAACACTAGTTGGTTTGAAGGGCTTCCAAATAACTGGCGAATTGAAGTTTCACCTAATGGTTGGACTTCAGATGAAATCAGTATCAGATGGTTAGAAAAAACATTCATCCCATACTCTCAAGTTCGGATGAAAGGGAAATATTGTCTTCTGATACTTGATGGCCATGGTAGTCATCTAACACCTCAATTTGATCGACTATGTGCTAAAAACTGAATTATCCCACTTTTCATGCCGGCTCATTCATCCCACCTTCTTCAACCTCTGGATATTAGCTGTTTTTCTGTTCTAAAACGTGCCTATGGTAATCTGATTACCAATCAAACACGGCTAGGATACAACCATATCGACAAGCTAGAATTTCTAGCAGAATATCCTCAGGCACATACAGATACCTTCAAAACACAGACTATCCAGTCGAGTTTTACAGCTGCAGGTCTAGTTCCACTAGACCCAGAGCGTGTGCTCTCAAAGCTCAATATTTCACTCCGAACACCAACACCACCACCCAGCCGCCCAAGCAGCCGATCTAGCCAACTCAGTCCAAAAACACCGAAAACAGTCAAACAACTACAAAAAAAGTTTTCTTCACTCAAAAAACTACTTAAAAACGATCAAGAAGCCCTCCTTCCCCAACAAAGCTTGTCCTAGATCAGATTATCAAGGGCTACTGTGTCAGTGCATACCAACGTGCTACAAGCTCGGGAAATTGCTGATTTACGGGCTGCGAATGAGAAAAAACGGCAAAAAGGGGCACGTACGAATCGCCTAGTTCGCTGTGAACAGGGTGTTACGGTCTGTGAGGACGTACCGCCACCAGAGCTGCCAGCACCACCTGTTGAACCTATTGAACGCCCCCCCCCCCCCCCTCCAGCGGCTGAACAACCTATTTTACCACCTCGACGTGCACCCCCTACGTGCAGCGGCTGTAACCGTGTGGGCCATAGAATCAACCGTTGCCCTAATAAGTAGATTTTCAAATATCATGTTTTTTCGGCCGAAATATTTGATCTTGAAAGTGTAGTAGCGGGTGGGGCGCGTCACTCGCCCGTTGATTACGTTAAAAGTTTCAACTTCTAACAAATTAAGAACTCGCGTTCTTTCTGTCCCAGGGCATCACCAGCAAGTTGAGCTGATACACCTCCAATCACACCGTACATTCCACCTTTTCGACGGAGTAGCACCATTGTTGTCTGCCGTCCCGATAATTGACAAATAAGATCGCCTTCTTGAGCATCACCTATAACCCAAGCACTTGCAATATTCCAGTCTGGCCTCTTTTTGTTCTTTGCCCTTTTTTTGCAACGGAACTCCTTGCCGTTTTGCCATGACGAATTAAGATTCCTTAGTCTGTTCCACTTTTTCCTTCCCTTCAATTTGTAGACACAAATTGAATGTCCTGTGACACGGCACGCAAATCTTTGCAAATCGGACAACAGTTTCGTGTATAGACGTTCGGACTGATCTCCTATCATTGCGAATAGAGATGGTGATAAAACCGCATGTTTTCCAGGCAAGAGAGGAAAGTGCTTGAAGTGAAAGCTTTCGAGGAATTCGAGGGATCCTAACAATTCTTTTAATGCCCTTTTCATGTGGCTGCGTTTTCCAAATTTATGAAACGATTGAGGAAGACGAGCCTGATGCACTTTCAAAGCTTTTCCAAGAACCGAACCCCTCGTCTTCAAGACTAGACGTCCTTCAAAGTCCACAACAGAAATATGCTTTGCCGTTTTAGTCACTCCGCCGGTCTGGCTTCGTGACTTAGGTATGAATGTTGTCTTGTAGTGTTCCAACAAACGGACACCATGAAGGCAATTTCTTCTGCCATTCCATCCCGCTGGATATTTGAAGGGCTCGTATAGTCAAAATATGCAGGTCTTTCGTTTCCTCGATGAGTTCTGCGAAAACACGCGGAATGACTACTTCGGGCTCCTCGTTGTAGTTTGTTATGATCCTCTTTTGTAATGGTTCGTCGAACAAATGCTTGAATGCAAACATGTTATCTCGGGGATCTGAGCAAACCCGGTCCAAAAACATGCCAAGAATCCTTCGAAATGAAATTTCTTCTCTCTGCCCATCGGTATGTGAAGGTACGAAGATATTTGCCGGAATTTCGGTTGGATTGAAGAAAACTGCTTCTGTGTTGATATCGGAAGGAATGGTGATGTCGGCAAAGGTACATAAGGTCCAACAAGCCGCCATAACACTGTTGTATGACTTCTCTCCCATGCCACATCGCAGCTTCAAGGAACCAGGGCGACTGAACTCTAATTCTTGGACAATCCACGCACGGCTCCAATAATTTCGAGAAAAAAGTTTTTCGAGACATTTCACTCTACCTGAGTTGAGACATATTTGTAGCCAATGTCTCTGGATTGAGCTCACTGCGGCTATTGATTAATTCATTACTGTCTTCACCCAACCAAGATATGACAGTTTCGGCCCGTCCGTAGATTTCATGTATCAAATTGACCTGGTGTTTCTTCTCTTCCGGGTCGCTTTGGTTGATGCACAGAAAATGCACCCAAATAGTCAAGTGTCGATCGGAGAGACTGATATTACAATCAGGAGCAGGATGATTCAACAGATACCCAATCTCCTACCTGTTTTGTATGGTAATCGGGGTATTCTTGGAAAAGGCAGCGCTGTAACACACTTAAAACCCCAGAATAGATGGCATCCTGAACGGGAGCCGACAGATAGTTCTTCAGTCAATGAATCGATGGCTGAGATGGTTCAATTGGCCCCTCGCGAGTACTAGTCGATACCGATATCCGAAAGTCCGACATCAAGTCCATGTTCGGTTTTCGGAGACAGACTAGCGCTGCGTGTAGTTCTTCAGAACCTTTGAAATGGCGAGAATTGACGAGGATGGATTTTCGCTGCCTTCTTTCACCCCAACAATATGAGAGTGCTTGGTAAGAGGACTCTGGCGGAAGCTCCGTCGAGCTGAGAAAACACTCAATTTGAGAATTCACAACTCCTTGTTTTAGTCTGACAAGTCGTATCTCATTTTCAGTAATCATTCCATAATCAAAACCTCCGTTCCTGTTTTCTGCACATTCATCCGAATAATCTAAAGAAACGGTGACATGCTGTTCTTCGTGGGTCGAGGTCATCGAGGAAGACTTTTTGCGATGTTGACACATTCTAGAAACCGACTGAAAGCGCACGCTCTTTATAGCTTTAGCCCAGACAATGGCAATGTATGCAGTTGATAATAGACTTTCAGGTGGAAGCTGGATGGGACGAAGAGCTGGGTTGGGGTTATCCTTTAAAAGGGCGGCCTGCCAAGAACCGTGCGCAGTAGTGCTGGTGCGTCATCAGCTTAATATGATTATGGCCCTAATTTTGCCCTACTTCTTCTTTCTCTTTCTCTCAAGTTGGATTTTTACCAGGGCTGAGTGCTGCATGCTTGGTTCTGTAGGAGCCAAAGGGCTTCCTGGACCTTTGTGTGGCCAGATGTCAATGCGAAGAAGCCAAGTGCATCGAAGAAGTTCGAAGAAGAAAGAACACAGCGGCTTAGACAGTATCGTGACTCCAATGCTGGGACCTGTAATTGCAGTACTTTCGGTGATCTATCAGAGATACATCAAGAATAAAATAATGTGACTGTCTAACCAATCCTGGGAGCATAGCCTGAAAGGGGCACGTGGAATGAAGGTGTGTGCCTAAGACATAATCTGTTTTCGATTTCTACTGCATCGGTGGAGTGCACATTCCAACTCCCAGAAGATGGGGCCCAACCTCAACCCCCACTCAGGTGACGATCAGCCGCAGTCTTGGCACGAAGTCGTCGGTTTGGGGGCCAAAACGGCACTTGGCAGGCATCTTCCGAAAATGAAGGTGCCTTGCAAACCCGTGACAGTGCGTGCTGCGGAACTCGATTGCCCCAAGGATGGAGTGCTGATGATGAGCGGAACTATGTTGTAGTAGCTATGGAAAAATAGTGTGGAGTGCAGGCCACGGCGGGAAGTTCACATGCTCTCGAACACACATACCCCAAGTACAGAAGGTCATCACGGCCAGAGTGCAGGATGTCGATGAAAGAGGGTGGCGGAGCTTTTCGTAATTCTGATCAATAGCAGAAATGCCTCAACTGCAAAGAGCAGGTAAAAGACGGCAAAGTATGCAACGGATTTTGTGTGACGGATGACCCTCGGAATAGCCTCGTCTCGTGGAAGGATGCCTGAGGCATAATATTGGGTCGTTTGCACAACGCGTTTGCTGGGGACTTAACCCCTCTTTTTCTGGCAGACTTTCTTTCTTTCTCTTTCCTTCTTCATCTTCGAGATTCTCGTCGTAGGCACCGAATGAATCTGTTTCTTTCGAACGGCCCGTAACAAATTACACCACAACTAGTGGCTCAAAAGATTAATAAATCTGTTCAATCACTCTTGAGGTCAGTGGCTAATTTGTAGTCCAAACTTTTGCTAGGAAATGAGGTTCGTGGTGGGTTATAAAAGCTGAAAGTATGCTAATATACGCCTAGATATTGGCCATTGGAACAACTACTTTAGGGATGTATAGGGATTGGAATATGTCGCAGACGGGAAACTGGTAGCTATTTCCTATGTCTCTAGTACAATGGGCTTCATTCTTGCCCCTACTTACCCTTTTCCTAGTGAGCAAGTCGAAGTGGTTCTTGTTACTTTCCTGGGCCAAGAGCACGTGATCGCACGTGTGCATAAAGTAAACTAATTCAAGAGTGTATGAGAATATCATCTAAATCTTTGTACACACAAGTACCTATCAGATGAAGTGTCGAACCTCACGCCTCCTCGACATTGCTATCATAGCACCGAACACTCGCTGATGTATTGCTGACTTTCTGATCAGCAGTATCCCATTCACTGAACTTGCAGATACCAGGGTCCTCCACTGAGTACAGAATCGGCTCAACGCATTTTTCGTCCCTGTGCCAGAATCAGTACACATTTCCCCTCAATTATCTTGACTAGGCTCGAAATTTGACGCAGAAAGAAAGAAGACTCACTTGTAAAAGTTGCACACAATATCTTCTGGTACTTTGACGCCAGTTACTTTGCCCTTCCTGTCGATTATCGTTTTGTGGTTAATATTTCTCCTTGTAAATGTAGCTCAGTCTCTGGTTTCACATACAATGTCTCTGGTATGAGGGTACATTTATTGTTAGGCTCGATTTGTGTTAAGTCTCCTGTGCAGGGCTCTTGTGAGTAAAGGGTAACCTTGATTAGAGCCAGTTAGTTACCTCATTTAGATTGTTTAAGTAGACAGGAAATAGGGATGTGTTGTGCATAGTATTACCTTCTCCGCTGCCAGAGCAGGGGCCACACAGGAAACAATAGCAAGTGTGAGGAACTTGTATGAGACCATTACGAATTGAGAGAATGGTATCTGAAGGCTGTTAAAAGGTATGAAGAAGTGGGAAATTGGAATGGTAAGCTCAATGGCAAATTAAGTGCTTTCTAGAACCAGGGGAAGATGCTGCCTTCTTAAATAAAACAGAAGAAAAGCCATCGCTTGGCAATGTGACTGGAATGCAGACTTGATCCACATAATATTGGCCCTGCGATTGGCGATCAGGCCCACTGTATGCTTGTGTTGTACAGCTTCTGAGTAGCTGGCTTGGACCTTATGCAACTACTATCTGGTCTTGCTCAGCTCAGCCATGCCCTTGTTCATGCTGGAAATTTGACTAATTGCCCCATAACGAATCAATAGTGCGATCTAAACTTGTGATCTACAAAGGGGCTCTATTCCATTTTCTTCGTTTTCATTCTTGTTCTTCATTCTTCACATTCTTGACATGATCTGTTGAAGGTCAAGCCGGTTCAACACCTGGCTTCTAAGGCTGCGATCGATATCACCTGATCAACTGGCCAGATCTCTCATTCCGGCCGAAATGATGCTGTCAGATGAGTGCGTGTTCATCCGAGGGACACCCCGCAGATAAATGAGATATTTCAAAATTGCCCCGCTTTACACCGCTTGTTTGTGTTGTGATATGTCGTATCGTAACGGAATCAATTCCTACCCTCACGGAATTGCCAGCTTTGATTGGAAATCAATCTGGAGGTTGCATGTGTATATAAACCCTCAAGTTTTCTGTCCAGAAGAAAAACAAGCAATCTTCCTCTGAATTACAACAGTTTTTTTTTACCGTTCGCGTTACTTCTCTTTGTTGTGTTTACATCTTTGTTTGTGTATTTAAGACCGCTACTGATCATATCTGGATGATTATGCGAATTCTAGGTGAACCTTGACCTGCAGACTCGATCCCTCGAGGCAAAGCCCGTCCTCGAGCGAATAGTCTGTGATTCGTCTCAACCCACAACATCCTTGGTCTAGCACATGACTAATGTAGTCATAGACCCTGTATGCCGACAGTTATGAGCCCGGTTTCCGATAGAAACATTAGAAAATTGAATATTAGGATAGAAGGAGGGAGACATGATAGTTGAGTCGATGACCTTGAGCATTAGAGCGAGTGTAAAGCCTTTGACCATTTAGGTTTAGCGTTAGCCACGAAACCCGTACCCTTTGGGACTAGCGTGGGTATCTGTCTAGATTTCCACCAACTTTAAAGGGCTTTTGCACCACATCTACACGTCCAATGAAACTCTAGTTAGTATTGCTGGAAGTCTTATTCCTTGCACTACAAAATGGTAAAAAGTACGTTTCTTTCACCTAAAATCTAAAGGTTCTGTTGGTGTCGTAACTTGGCTTATAGAATGGTGGTGTATACCATGGTGTAGAATATATATTCTATTCCAACCACTGCTACACTGGCACAGATAGAGACGGATGAAATATTTTGGCCCGCACGGGGCACCTGCGGTCTGAACACTGGCGATGTAGACCTCGTTGACGGAGGGCTACGGCGCCGTGAGGGCTGCAGGCGGGCCCGTGGCACTCCGTATATTCTAGGAGGAAAATAGCTATGCGGGAGCATACGTGGTATATACATGAGGGGGGTTCCGCGGTGGGCGGGAAGAAGCCGTCGCGGAGAGAGCCCGGCTCTCCCTCGAAACGGCGATGTCCTTTTCGAGGGAGGGGCAGGCCAGGCGATATTTGTGTGCGATGTCCAGCACGGAATATCGTGGGCCCGACGCACGGGGCTCTCATGCAACAGTCCCGAATAGAGGGAGAAGTTTTATTGGGGTTGCCTCGTGTTGGCCACGCTATCTCACGTGACATCTACACCGACATTTCGGAGGGCTCCTTCCTACAACTGCCTCTGAAGAGTCAGTTGCTTGCTTCTGGTGGTAGCTTGTCGTCTCTCACGCAGTCAAGGCTCGATTTTGTCCCTCCCACCTCCCCTCTGTATATAGAAACCAGTATTGCAATATACAGACACATTGCCTCCCTACGAGGGGAGCGCGGACGGGCCTTCTCTGACGCTACAGTCTAATGCGTTTACGCATAAGACCGCAGCGACAGGTGACCCGTTACGGCCAAACTGTACACGTTTTCTGTTCTCTTCTTGACTGCGAGAGGTCACCAATAAAACATATCATTTCACGTTTAACTATCTAATGTCAAAATTTTACAGACCACCACTTAATTTTTGATTTATCTCAAATTTAACTACATGCAACGGTATAATGTTAAGATGAGTATACATTTTCCTTAAATGTTTTCTCAAAATACAAATTATTATGAGTGACTTGAAATATGGTAGTTCATACAGAACCAAACCTTCATACAGAACCAAACCAAAACACATGTGATTAATGCATAAAAATCACGCCAAGTTAGGCAGAAAATGAGTCCCATGGGATGGGAGGTGGGAGCAACCTTGCTCCCACGGGTGTCCCATTTGGAAGAAGTTCCCCCTATGGGTTAGAGAAAATTCTTCTACGGTGACACGGTTACGCCCGGCCCGATATGATTGTAAAATGACCAAAAGCGATGCACTTAGACGTCAAACTCAGCACATGGTCGCCTTTCCCAGAAGCTGAATTTGTCTTAGGTCGATCGATGTATCATCACTGGCTTCCGGCTTGGAATTTGCAAAGTCTACACCATTGTAAGCGTCGATCCATAAAGTTATTTGGAAAAAGAAAGCTAATAATTTGATGATGGTAAAGTAAGCCAGACAAAATAAGACTGCTTGGGGAAGGCTCTATTGCCAATGACAAAATTAGGCATGACGTGTAGCAGCCATTCAGCATGTAACTAAGGCTACTTAGGGCATGGTATGTGGGTCAAATTGCGGAGCCTGGATGTTCCTGAGCTGCATTTTATCCCCAGAGAGGAGAGGCTCAACCTTCATAATAGATGCTAATTCGTTGGCCCAGCTCGCATGCATATCTCCTGTTTATTTTAGCAGGTAAGGTCAATGAGAAGCACCCTATTTGTAAGAGGGAAATAGCTAGGCCTTTTCAGTTCAAACGGATTTGGAAGGTATAAGCCCATAATCTGGGAAATGGCTAATTCCGTTCGCTTTAATATCATTCCAGAAGCCCCTAGCATCCTAGCATCATTTTCAAATTCTTCGTATGGATATGATCTGCAATCTTCTGGATGATCATTATTGTAGATCCACCATGTAAGTCATGATGCATTCCGGATCGACAGCAGACATTCTTAACGATCAAGATTAACGTCACATTTCTGAAATTCCTAGCTCACAACGAAAATCTCCACTTAAGGCTGCTTTGGATACTATTCATGTCCGAAACAATATTTATACGCCGATGTTCGCCTGGTTCAACCTATTCCTACACAATCCAAGCTAGCATTACCCGCCCCAAAAAGCTATCCACACGCACCCGGTAGAGTCTTTTCTTTCAGCATTCGACTTGTTAAGATTTGTCCTAACTGCCCTACATCCAGAAAATGAAGTTCATTTTGATGTCCCTCGTCCTTGCGGCCACTGCTCTTGCCGGAAAGGATGGGCACGACAGCGATAAAGTCTGCAAGAGTGGCCAGAGTGTTGTCTGCTCCAAAAATGGAAGTGGTCTTCTGACCCTCGGAAACGTTGCGACAGGTGCACTGGGCGTCGACTGCTCTGGCGGCGATGTTTATTGCTGTGATGACAAAGATGTTGCGGTAAGAGCTGCCGAAGAAAATCTACATTGTCAATTACTAAAAAAACCACAGAAGGGACTCATTAACCTGGATGTAAATGCCCAGTGCAGTCTTAACCATGTCCTCTAAGCATTGATCACTCTTGCTGTGTTCTCGGCTGGGCTTCACTCTTTTGTAATTCCGAAGGTCGCCTTTCTCGTCATATTTGATTAATGGGCTCTGTCGCCCAAGATATCGACGAGATTAGTTATGACAGAACACTTTTTATATAGCCCCTAACAGCCAATATCAGAATTTTTGTTTCATAAATACACTCCGCCTTAGTATCTACATTAAGAAGATACATAGTTAGCCCAGGTACTAGAGCTTTAGTTCTATTTTACCCCTCTCTATTCAACTTAGAGCCTTGTTTTTTGAGAAACTAGATATTGAAGAGGGGAACGCTCGATGGCAGCACGCGCTGAGACGTGCATGTCGATTTAGCAGAAACCACCACAAAACACACGCTTAGCTGTCAGGAAATAGCGAGAAACCCGAATGTAGGGGTCAGGTCGGGGAGGTGTAAGAAGGTGTATTCTAGAACTAGCTATATGGCCACCGTATACTGCCGGCTATGTCACATAACATGGATGGCACCCATGTAGTAGGGGGAGGGGGTCTCCCCACTACAATATATAGAGGATATGTCAGCGAATTTATTCATCCTAACCAGGAAAGGCGTGAAAGAATTATGCAATTCAGGGTAGTCAGGGTCGTAGTCAGGGTGACCCTGACGAGATTTTATGACCCTGAAGGTCGGTCCGGGTCGTAAGGCTCGGAACCGGAACCGTCCAGGTTCAGGTCGCGAGTCGGTAGGAGGGACCCAATATCAGGGTCGTGGCGAGGTCTAGTCGTGCCCCAGAAGTTCCGAGGACGCCAAATTCACGACCGAGTCGGCCACACAACTAAAAATCGCGTTCCGACGCTTACCCACCATCTTCAACCACCCCACCATGCCACCAACACGCGTTCGATCAAACCGAGATTCGATTGAACAGGAAGGCCGAATCCTCCTAGCTATCAGAGATATTCAGAAAGGCTCTACCGACTCTATGCGCACAATCGCAGCGGGTTATCAGGTACCTCGCACTACGCTACAGGACCTTGTCAACGGCTACCATTTTCGAGCTGAGATACGCGCTAATAGTCATAAATTGACTAAATTTGAAGAAGATCCACTTGTACAGTGGATACTCCCTATGGATTCACGTGGTGCAGTGCCTAGGCCCTCTACTGTGAGAGAAATGGCTAATACATATTCTACTTGCCGACCGTGGACAGACCCCTCCCAACTGTTAGAATCAATTGGGTGTCCAAGCTTATTGAACGCCGAGAAGAGCTTCGAACACGTTTTTCAAGGCGCTATGGTTACCTACGTGCCCAGAATGACCGTCCTGTTGAGTTTCAGCACTCTTCAATGCCGCTGAGGCTCCGATGGCTATCTTGCCATCCCCCCTGAGACGCGCTAAGCCTTATATGGTAACGCGGACAATTGGGGAGCGTGTAAAGCACGCTTCCATTCAGGGGTTACTTTAGACATCTCCAATCTTCAATCCTTAATATCACTCCATTGCTGGCATGCACACATCGCTCCTCCTAGATCCTATCCCTCATCTCAACACATCCAAAGGCCCTACGTGAATGGTTTAAAACCGTTCAATCTGTAATCGATAAGAACGGCATCTAATCAGAGGATATATATAACTTTGATGGGACCGGTTTTACGATGGCCTTATATCAGCACAAAAGGGTGATTACTCGAGCCGAGTATCATAGTCAACGGTCTACAACCAAGAAATCGAGAAAAGGAGACTATTATCGAGTCCATAAGTGCGGCTGGTTTTGCTCTCCCACCATGCATAATCTTTAACGCTAAAAACCACAACACTCGTTGGCTTGATGGGCTTCCGAAAGACTGGTAAATTGAAGTCTCTCTAAATGGCTGGACTTCAGATGAAACTAGCATTGGATGGCCTCAGAATCTATTCATCCCATTCACCTCAACTCGGATAAAAAGAAAACATCGCCTTCTAATTTTTGATCGCCATGGTAGTGATCTCACGCCTCAATTCGCCGAACTTGTGCTGAAAACTCGATCATCCCATCTCCTTGAACCTCTAGATATTAGATATTTTGCTGTTCTTAAGCGTGCCTATGGTCGCCTGATGTTCCAGGAGTGAGAGCATGTTCTGAATTTCCGTCCCATGGACCGATAATCTGGCTTGGATGAGAATTGCCATCAAAACCTAAGTGGTCATTGTGGATGTCGATTGATAAGTATGGCCGAAGCAGAGGTGTAATGTTAGCAAGTTCCTGTCCGCTTAAGTTTGGAGCCACGGCATATTGATAGGGACAGGTGGATATTACAGAATGTTAAAACGCTACTATTTTAACCGCTATTCTGTCTAGCCTTTATAATAGTTGAGTGTAACCTTCCAGTCTAGTTTCTAATTATAGTATCTTATAAATGTCTTCAAATTTACAAAACGGAGCTACTACTATGAGGGGCAAGGTACAAAAGGAGTTACTCTCCCGTAGTGTGTGCTTAGGATGTGCAAGAGAATCTCGCTATTATAGACAGAAAAGGAGACACTGGGCGCAACTTTGAAGGCACCCTGGGGATGGTAAGCAATGACGAGGGTGGGTATCTGGGAGACCCAGTGACGCGGAATGAGGTCCATCATGTCCATCTCCTTCTCAATGATGCAGGGCTTAATGTTAATCAGGGCACTCTGAGCCACAGGAGCCTGCTTCGACATGAAATGTTATCCTCGTCACCGCTCTTGTTGCCGCCCTTTGTGCGGGAGTCCTGGTGTTGAGCGCGGTCCTCAGATTGTCGAAATTGGTCTCTGCGATCTGCTAGATTTTGCCAGCACCACCTGACTCCCTCCCCGAGATATACCCATCCCACTCGAAGTGTACTAGGTAGTGCCGATCCCAAAGGTCGTACCGAATAATATGCTGATGCGATTCAGTGTCCCCTAACCGGGCTCCCATAATACTAGTCGAGAAAGGTGTGGCAGTAGCCACAAACATTTAGGGATTCGACTAGTGGGCGAGTTCTCGCGGCGGACGAAGAAGACAGTAGTGCCCACGCGGTTCATCACGAAGCGATAATCCTGGTCCACGCCGCGCAGACACCAGGACAGGGCTCCCTAGCATGCTGAAGCAGGTGACAATGTCCACCGCGCTCGGGATCCTGCCTTCGGACGGCCTCGCAGGCGGAGTCCCACAGGAAGGCAGGCGACCGGGCGGCGCCGAGGTCTTACAAATACTCTTCCGGGTCGGGAGGGGCGTAATCGCTGGCCTATGGGACGGGCGTCCATCATGGAGGTTAGTGATTTGCGGTCACATTTCCTTTCCCTCTAGAAGGACAAAGAAACACCCACTGGGAACAATGACTGACAGATCTGCTTGGACGAGCCAGGAGCAGGAGGCCCTGTCAGCGCACTCTGGGTTGTCGGGGCTTACCTGCAGCTTGTCTCGCTTGATCTCCACCAGCAGCCAATGGTATGGTGGGGCTGCTGACAGCGGTACAGGCACAGGCACAGGAGTTGGTGTGGGGACAGTGTCCACTCGCCGAAGCGGCTCCTGCAAGAACTCCGCTGGGGTTGCGATGATGAAGCTCTCTGCATTTTGTTGACTTTTTCACAGACGCGGGTTTCGGGAAGGTAGGGATAGAGAAGAGCAGAAGTAGAGGAGGGGAGGGGAGATGGGGACGAAACCTGCGATGCCGGCATTTCCCAACACAGACCGCTGTGTTTGGGGAAGAATGTCGGACTTTAGGATATCGGTATCGACTAGTACTCGTGAGGGGCCAATTGAACCATCTCAGCCATCGATTCATTGACTGAAGAACTATCTGTCGGCTCCCGTTCAAGATGCCATCTATTCAGGGTTTTTTAGTGTGTTACAGCGCTGCTTTTCCGAGAATACCCGATTACCATGCAAAACAGGTAGGAGATTGGGTATCTGCTGAATCATCCTGCTCCTGATTGTAATATCAGTCTCTCCGATCGACAGCATATAATTTCTTATATTCGCCGCTACACAACGGTGCAGCGCTTAAATTATCATTCCAAGCTGGCACCACAAGACTCACATAAAGATGTGCTCAACGTCACAGGACATTCCCTCTAATGGGGGAGCGGACGAGGTGGAGAAGTATCTGTACCTCGGCATTCCTTTCGGTATTGAGCCGAATTTATTAGACTGGTTCTGGGTGTGAAAAGCAGTCTTGGCTCGTTGTACTTAACAGGCTCTTGCTTTACATCTCTTCGGCATTTACTATACACGGAAAATATTCTTCTATACCAACCAAACTGGACTATGGACGCAATGGAAGCCCGGATCAAAGACGGTACCTAGTTGCATTTTAACTAAAGCAATTCTAGGGGTCCCTTCCCGACAGGTTCAGGGTATGCAGCAGGAGAGACCCGTGGAATGTTGAGCCTGGAGATGGCACGAATGCGATGGCAAGCTAAACAGAAAGGACAGTAGGTTAGTAACCATAATCTAACCCTCCCTAACCCTAAGCACCCGCTTTTTGCTCGTCCTATGCAATAGCTTGCTACATAGTGTATCTTACTTGTACCAATACAATACGTCTAATGTTCAGGTACAAAATTCTGTTGAATATCTGTGTTGGGCCATGTTGGTTTGGTACTATGAAAACGTAGTACGTCTAATCGCGTATCATTCTCCAGTTCACGGGCTCAATGGCCTTTGGTACATAGGCCTTGCAGTAGAGACACAACAAAGTCGGCGCGTCGGCTCTCGTTTAGAATCCATAGCTCGTCTAACTGACCTCCGTTATGACACAATGGAAGAGAAGTGAGGCTCTTGTTTACAGGAGCTGGCTAAGCTGTTTGCCCATTGGACACAGGAGTCCGCTCATTCCACTGTTCCAGCGGGCTCTTCATGGTCGTTTCCGGGAACCTGGGGTCTCTCTGCCAGGGAAGGAAATCACTGCTCTCCATGAGGAACTTGAGCACGGCAGCTTCCATTTCGCGACGCAAGACCGCGTACTCGGGCACCTCGGCCAAATTTTGCAGCTCCTCGGGATCGTTCTCGCGACTGTAAAGCTCCGGTGGCTCATATAGACGGTAGATGTAAGTCCATTTCTTGCTGCGGCATGATACGGCCTTACCCACCAGCTCCGTGTTGTTGTGCTGCAGCGCTCCCTTGATGTCTGTTGCCATCGTTAGCTTGGATCCAAATCAATAAAGGCCGTTGCAGATGCCTCTTACCATATGGGTACGGCCCTTGTTCCAACAGTGGCTCCTCTGACGTCAGGAAGCCGCCTTCAGTAAAGGCATACTTGCGATGCGGAACGACTTCTTTCCCACCCTTGAGTAAAGCGTCCGCAAAGGACTTGCCACAGTGAGGGAAGTGCTCGCCAATCCCGGTAAACTCAAAAACGGTCGGCAAAAGGTCCACCATTTCCGACATCTCATCGTATACCACCCCTTCTGGCAGGCCTCCGCCACCAATGATGAGCGGCTCACGGGTCAAAGACTCAGACAGGCCCGCAGGCCACTTCTCAATCAAGCCATAGTCACCAAGGTACTCCCCGTGGTCGGTGAAGAACATGGAGATGGTGCTATCCCAGACGCCAATGTCCTTTGCCTTCTGGATGACGCGGCCAAACTGGTCATCGAGTCTCGTAATCATACCGTAGTATGTGGCCATGATCTCGCGCCACATCTCAGGGGTGGCTCGGGCAGTGCCGTACTGTTCGCGGATGGCTTGCATGTATCTTGGCTCGTATCCCGTCTGTCACGTTATCAGCAAGATGCGCGCATGCAGCAAGTCGTGTGGAAAGAATGTTACCTTTTTCTCTTTGGGCGCAGGAGCCGGCATGTCGTCCCTGCCGTACATGGAAAAGTACGGCTCTTCCACCATAAAGGGGCAGTGAGGGAAGATCAAGGGCATAAAAAGAACCCAGGGCTTGCCGGTAGGTGGACGCTCCATCCATTTGATGGCCAACCTGACCACGGCTTCATCGTAGTCCACGGCTTCCTGTGCGTTCCTCCACCCTTTGTAAAAAAAGCGGTTCCAGATGTTGTTCTTGTCCTCTTCGGTGGGTGGCTTGTTAAACTTGGGCATGAACTCTAGGGTCTCGAGGAAGCCATATTCGTCCATGGACAGCTCGGTGACTGTAGGCGCGAAAGTGTCACCCCGAGGCGCAAGGCAGGCGATGTGGTAACCAGCCTCCTCCTTCATCGAACGAAACACGTTGAGCTCCCATGGCTTGATGAGGTTGTCAATGGAGCGGTGGCCGGAGACATGGGGGTAGTTGCCAGTGAAGATGCTGCATCGAGACTGCGTGCACACCGAGGCCTGAACCCAGCAGTTTGAGAAGAGAGTGCCTTGTTTCGCAAAAGCATCGATATTAGGAGTCTTGACGTGCTGTTGAATTGTCAGAACCTTCCTCCAGGGACTGGGGGATTGCGGAAACAACTCGGCGTGACAGCGGGACGGCGTACCTTGTTACCAGTGCATCCCAACGAGTCATACCGGAGCTGATCGGGCATGAAGATAATAAAGTTGGGTTTCTCGACTTTCAATCCATTGCTGGGCTTTGCAGGCAACCTGTGAGGAGGATGCTGTTTCGGCGAGACCAGCCCTTGTTGCTTGCAGCCATCTTGTTGAGAACTTGGGGAATCTTCAAGATGAGGATGCCACTACGAGTTCCCGTCTGTTCACACAGATGTCTAAGTCATGCCAGGACCTCTCAGGCGAGAAAGTCCAAGTCTTCAATTGATCTGCCGTCGTAGAAGTGTTCCCACGTCTAGAGTCGTGGATCGTGCACCGACCTCCGAGTTCCGGCTTCGCGGGGCAGATTACGAACTCGGGGGAGACGAATGAGCTGCAAGCAGCCAATATCAGATCTGCACCAACAAGGTTCCACCCTGCTTAGATCAAGCTTATTAAAGCGTGGGGTAGTCCATGGCGGCATGCTCGGGGTACGGAGAGCATCCGCTTTTCAGAGCCAGAGTCATGACCCCCGAGTTCCGGTGACGCATACTCTGTACGGAAATACCCAATGCACATGGCTACATGCGGCTGATTGGTGACCGGCCCATCCCCAACTTTTTACCCCATTGTCACTCGCTTGCATCACAGTGTCTGTTGTTCCAAGCCTTGCTCTAGGTCTCGTCACGCTGGACCGTTGCCGCTGCACCCGAGTGGAAACCCCAGCACGTCGGTTTGCCCAATGCAGCCTGGCCATGTAAGGCTTGACCCCTGGAGTCTGAGCGCTTTGCCTCACCAATCACTTCGGTAGTACATGAAAGGGTGCAGTATCTGTGCAATGACTCGACCTCACCTACTATGGCCGTGAATCCTGGTTTCTCAGATGTGTAGATATGAACTTCTTCCATGTTTATGCAGACTGACTAGTGTGTGTTGGCCCAGCCCGGGAACTCTACGTTGACCATGCCCGTCTCCATGAAGTATCGCTCCCACAGCTTCTCCAGCTCCTTCATGATCCCCACCTCTGTCTCACTCAGATCCTTCATCTCGGCGGGGTCATCCTCCACGTTGTACAGCTGCCAGCCATCCTTGCCCTTGGGTGGGGGAATGTACACGGCCTTCCAGCGGCCCATCCTGATGGCCCGCATCCCGTAGAGCTCCCACCTGTGGACATGGCTGTCCTCGCCGTGAACAGAGTTCTCCGCCTGTCCGTCGGCGTTGGATCCCAGGGCCCCGAGATGCTTGACCCAGCTTTTGCCCCGGGGCTCCACGACATCCCTGTTGCGGAATCGTGTGCCTGGGTGCTTCACCTCTGCGAGCTCCAGGATTGTGGGCATGATATCCATGGCTGTTGTGAATGCGTGCGTGATGGCCCCAGCCTTGGGCGCCAGAGGAGGGTAGTGTAGGAGACAGGGGCAACGGATGCCGCCTTCCGTCGACTGCCCCTTGGTGCCGCGACTGGGCGCCGTAGCAGCACAGGCCCATCGTGGCCCGTACCAAATCCACGAATCAGGGTTGCCAATGTTCTCTAGGTTGTTGTTGTAGTGCTTATTGATGACCGATGCCATCGTGTCGGCCCCTCCCATGATGGGTGCAGCTTCCAGCGCGGCCCCTTCCGCGCCGTTGTCGCTCATAAAGAGGATAAAGGTGTTGTCGAGCTCACCGGTCTTGGTCAGGTAGTCCACGATACGACCAATGTTGGTATCGAGTAGTTCAACCATGGCAGCAAACGTCTCCATCTTGCGCGCCGACTCGGAGCGTTCCGAGTCTGTCAGTTCCTCCCAGGGCGGCCCGAGTCGGCCCTCGGGGGGAGCGTGGTCGACGCCGGGCTTTACGAGCCCAAGATCTTGCAAGCGTTTGAGTCGTGACTGCGTCAACGCATCTGGTCCCTTGTCGTAGACTCCGCGATATTTGTCAATGATATCCTGGGGTGCCTGTAGCGGCCAGTGAGGTGCCGTGTAAGTCATGCAGGCAAAGAAAGGCTGCTCAGCCTCCTCTGCCGTCCTGTTCTCCAGGAAGCCCAGCGCCTTATCCGTGAATGTTTTTGCAGAATAGAACTCCTTGGGGAGGTCGGTGTCGAAGTTAAGAAATTTGTCTCCTTCCATCCAGAACTTCTTGTTGGCCATGGCCGGCAAGAAAAAACTCATTGTCCTTGAACTGCGGCTCCCAGCCATAATGATTGTGTGCTCCAGGAAGATACGAGAAACTTTTGGTGAAGCCTCTTGAGCAAGGTGCCAGATCTTTGGTGAGACCGAGATGCCTATGCAGACGAGATTCAATCATTAGCAGGGCTTACATCAATGATTCGTCAGAGACACGCACCATTTTCCAGACAGCATGGTGAAATAGCCAGCATCTTGTAGAATCTCCGGGAGAGCAGCTACACGCAAATTGAGGTAACCCTCGTATCCTGGCTGATCACGGAGCCAGATCTTGTGTGGTGTTCCGGTTGCCTCACTCATTTGACCGAGACCAGCGATGTGGTTGTCTGTTCCGGAGAACAGCATCGCTCTCGTTGGCGAGCATGCTGCTGCCGTGTGGAAGTTGGTCATGCGAATTCCATCTTGTGCTAGCTTATCCAGGACCGGCGTCTTGATTTCGCTTCCGTACGGAGAAATATCGCTGAAGCCGAGGTCATCTGCAATGAGTATCAGGAAATTGGGGTGTTTCGAGGCCATCTTCGGGTTCGTCGAAGCTGCAGGTAATTGGTCTGGGCCAAGAGTTACTCGTGTAAGTCGTCACAGATCAAGGAAGTTCTGTCGGCTTTGGGAAATCTTACCGACAACCAAAAAGCTTTGATTTCAGCTTGCACCTTTCAATACTTTCAATATTTGCCTTGGCCGATGCATCGTGGGAAGAAGTCGACTCATTCGAGGACGCAAAGACGCGACTAATAGTTTAGTACAAGAGTAGCGTGCCGATGGTCTGTCGGATGTGACATTAGCTCGAGGAAGACCGAGTAGCGGCGCAAAGTACCCCCGAGAAGCGGATCGCGGCTCCAGTCACCCAGTGACGCAGCAGTTGGCCTCCGGTGACCCCGTCGGTTTACCTGTTGTCTCTGTTCTCTCTAGTCTCCATTCTCGATCGTTCGGACGCGGGGGCCCGTCACGATGCACGAGGGACTTTGTTGTGATCAGGGCTGGGCAAATTTTCACCCCCCTTTGACAGCGCTCCTTGTCCGCAACCGCCGACTTCCCTCATAATTGAAGCCTGTTGGGTCTAAAACTGTAGCCTTTGGGGCGGGGATCGAGTCTGCGTGTTTCACCTTGACCCAACGCCCGTCGGAAGATCCTACGACCCCATGGGGTCCGGGGTTGTTGCCTTTGGTCTGCCATCTCTGCTTCCAATCAGGTATATACGGCCTTGCCTATCTACGATGCGTCGCGAGGTATCCGCAATCCATGTCCTGGTCCCCATCTTCTTCTCTTCGCCCATCTCTACTAGGTTGATAATTTCCATCTCATCAGTCAATTGAAGAGCCCATCATTCATTCCCTCAAAATGCCTGCCGGCAACGACATCGGGCAGCTGTCCCTGCGACAGGCTTACAAGTGCTTCAACAAGAAGTTGTTGCTCACTTGCTGCCTCGTCGCCATCTCGCCTTTCAACTATGGCTTCGACAACCAAGGTTTCTCCAGCATCCAGAGCATGGACTACTTCGACAAGCAGTTCGGCGACTATGATCCCAAGACCAAAGCGTGGTACCTGCCCACGTGGTGGCTGTCCATCTTCAACGCTGTGCCCTTTGCAAGCTTCTTCTGTGGCATCATCTGCGGCAGTATCATCAGTAAGAAGTTTGGACGCCGAGCTTGCATCTTCTTCATGGCTTGCTGGGCCCTCATGTCTGCCTCTGTCATCATCTCCGCTAGATCCAGGGGTCAGATCCTTGCTGGCCGTATCCTCAACTGTACGTGGTCACTCCTGTCCAAAAAAAAAAACCTTGCATCTTTTATCTGTACCTCGACTCAACAGAACTGATGGTGTGACTGCCTAGTCTTCTACGTCGGCATGGAACTCGTCTGCATCGCCGTCTACCAATCCGAAATTACACCCCGCAAGGTTCGAGGTGTGACCGTCGGTGCTTACCACGTTGCCTTGACCGTAAAGCTCAGACCTTCTATAAGACTGAACAAGACAAGTCTTACTAACGCCCTTAGACTGGCGGATTGATCTTGAACTCTCTCGCGGCTGGCACAAAGGAGATTAAGAGCAACGCCTCATGGATTATCCCCTTCGGTCTCTTCTTCACCATCCCTACCATTATTGTGTCCACAATCTGGTTCCTTCCGGAGGTATGCCGTTCTTCTTTATTCCTCTTGATGCAGATCACATTGGATGCTGACGACCGTCATAGTCTCCCAGATGTCTCATCATGCAAGAACGAACCGAGCAGGCCCGCAAGAACCTGCACGTGCTCCGTGTCGGTGCCTTAACCGAAGAACAAATCGAGGAAGAGTGGCAGCAAATGCTGCTTGGTATCAGACAAGAAGAAGCCATCAGCAAAAAGGGGTGTAATGTCTCTTCGTCGGCGCCAACAAGTGCCGCACCCTCACTGTCATCTTCATCAACGTCTTCCTCCAGTGCACGGGTCAGCAGTTCGCGTCCACTTATGGTGCCCTTTACATCAAGTGACTGCACTCCATCAGTCAGTTCTACATGCTCATCATCATGGCCATCATCAACATGTTCCTGGGCTTCGTGGTCATATACGCCCAGGATCGCATCGGCCGCAGAAAGCTGCTTTTCATTGGAGGGGGTGTTCAGGCCTCAGCCATGATTTGCATGGGGGGTCTGGGCACAGCGCCTGACCAGTCACTGCCCATCCGCAATGCCGTGGTGTCCATGATGGTCATTTACATTTCCGGCTACACTGCTGGCTGGGCGGGTGTCACGCAAACCATGAACGCCGAGATCCCTAGCACGGAACTGCGTGCCGCAACATTCCGCGTGGCTTCCATCACTGCTGTTGTTTGCCAGTAAGCTGTTCTTCACCTTGCTTCGTTACTTTGAATCTATTGACCCGTCTGTGTTCCAGGATCGTCATGACCTTTGTCATCCCCTATCTTCTCAACGCGCCGTACGCTGCTCTGCACGTCAAGACGGGCTTCATCTTTGGGGCCATCACCGTTTGCGGCCTTGTGTTCACGTACATGTTCGTGCCGGACTGCAGGGGCAGGTCGCTTGAAGATATCGACGTCCTGTTCCACTCAAGTGTTCCCGCACGTCGGTTCCACAAGGTTGACGTGGGCACGTTGCGCGAGCACATAGACGGACATGATATGAAGCACGTGGAAACGCTCAAAGATGAGACAGTGACTCACACCGAGGAGGCAAAGCCTCAGGTCTAAAGTTACGAGGATATGATGACGGCTTCTGCTATGAGAAGTGGTGTGCACCACCAGCGCTAGGTAAAGAACAACAAAGACTTGTCTAGATTACAAACGAAATAAACTATTCTTATGAACGACATTACATCTCGAAAGGGAAAGGATGGTGCTTTATTCAGGTGTTACCTGTGATAATTTTTCTCATTCAAACAATGTCCGAACCTGAAGCTAAAATATGTAGCTCCGCAAATGCGGCGAGTAAACGTGCTTTACTCCCCAGCCTTAAGTCCCTAAGTCTACATATCGGTCTGGAAGACATGCACCGAACAAAGGAAATAGCAACTCTCAGTGTTTTTTTTTTTCTGTTCCCTTGAGTTGGTGAACGGCTAAGGCCATACGAAAACCTTGACAGGCGGAATGACTTGCAGGTAAGATGATGAAAACTCGGCAAGCATCTGCGATCAGATCATTTGGACCTCGGAGAGCGGGGTTTTTCCATTGAATTGTCTTTCGTCCAAGGCGTGATCGCTTAGCCATGGGTGTATCGGGGGCTCTGCAATGCTATACGATGTCTTGGAAGTCTCGATTCGGCGGACCCAGTGGGCAGACGGCAGAGCAGGCTGCTGATGAGAGAATCCACCCGGAAAGCACGTCAACCGGCAGTCGGGGAATCTTGCAGCGCCCGAGATCCGCACACGGGTCTACGAGTTCCGGCCGGCATGTCTCTGCCAAGACGCGGCCTGTGAGAAATCAGGTGCCATGCATTGGGGGGACTTCGGCAATTAAAGCAGATTCTCGCGGGTCCGAAGTCCCCCAACATGGAGGATCCTGGAGAAGCTCCGACCCCACGGGGCTATGCGGGGTAAGCTCTCCATTGCGTGATGTCTCCTTGAGAAGCTTCACCCTGTATAGTCTGTTGCATTTCGAGCCAAGGCGCCGGTGTCGTGCAGGCGGAAGTCGGAAATCAATGCCCGGCCCTCTCGCCCTCCATCGATCATCTCTGGCTCTAGCGCTTTCGCTACCATGTGTATAAGAAGAAAAATGCTTAAGCTGGCGGAAGCAAGACGTTCCTGTAGCCAACAGTCTTTGGACGACATCGTCTCTGAAGTTCCTGCCACGTTTGCATTTCATTGCTAAGCAGTCTCTACCAAAAATGAGGTCCTCACTTCTGTCCCTGGGCCTGCTTCTCAGTGGTGTCAGCCACTGCGCCGCTAACTGCGGCTCGGGTCCGGGCCACGGTCAGGGTCCCCACGATTCGAAAAAGCCTAATATTGTCTTCATCCTGAGTGACGACCAAGATGCTCGGCTTGGCTCAACAGACTTTCAGAGCGTGCTGCACAAAGAAATATTTGACAAAGGCATTCGATTCATCAACCATTTCGGCACGACTGCCCAGTGCTGCCCCAGCCGGGCTGGTCTCCTTCGTGGACAAGTGAGCCACAACACCAACATCACCCACGTCCATGGGCCAGGGTATGTGGTTCGGGCAAGACATCTACGCACTGATTACTGACATAATATCGAATCTAGTGGCAACTACGACAAATGGTACATCTCTGGCCAAGACAAGGATTACTTGCCCCAATGGCTCGCCAAGGCTGGCTACCGCAGCGAATGTAAGCGTTCATCCTCCGTACGCCACGGAACTGGCCGGTTTCGGCAGCTGATCTCGAAACCCAGATGCCGGTAAGCTCCTCAATGGGTACAACATAATCAACTACAACATTAGACCCAAGGGATGGCACTGGGTGGATGCACTGGTTAGTATCCTTAGGTCACCATCTGGAATGACTCTTTGAGCTTACACACTACTCAGCTTGATCCCTACACTACATACTACAATGTGCCAGTGCTGTCCCAGAATGGCGAGCGCCCAACATACTACAAGGGATGGCACTCCACCGATGTGATTCGCATCAAAGCGTAAGGTTTTCTCCTTGTCCAACTTGAAAGGGTAACATGTACTAATTGCTGATGCAGACTGGACCGCCTCGAGCGTCTTGCCTCACAAGACCAGCCTTTCTACCTTCAGATCGCACCCTATTCCTGTCACATTGAGAATGACCAGTACCGGGCCATCCCCCTCAAACGACACTTTGAGCTCTTTCAGGATGCCAAGGCGCCGCGGTACCCCAATTACAACCCCGAGGAGAAGTACCAGAAGAAGAAGGGCAGCTGGCTCCGGGATCTGCCACTGATGAACCAGTCATCGAGGGACTTTGCCGACTTTGCATTTAAGTCTCGTGCTCAATCTCTTCAGGGTGTTGATGAGATTATCGAGGATGTCATTGCCAAATTGGAGGAGAAGGGCATCCTTGATAACACTTATAGTAAGTTCAACCTACCCTTGGTGGTTTGTACGCCGGCAAAGGTCTAATAGGACAAAATTAGTCGTCTATTCATCGGACAACGGATACCACATTGGCCAAAACCGAGTGCCAGCTGGCAAGGCCGGCTTCTATGCCGAAGACACAAACCTGCCCTTTGGCGTGCGTGGTCCAGGCATCCCCGCAGGCGCCGTTTCCAAGACGCCCAGTGTGCACGTCGACCTGGCTCCTACTTTTCTAGATATCGCTGGCCTTCCCGAGGACGAGTGGCCCGACTTCTTGGACGGCGCCAGCTTGCTTGACCAGTGGAGACACCCGCACCAAAAGTACGGTGAAGGCCAAGGCGAGGGCAATTCCAAGGAGACGCTCAACATTGAGTTTTGGGGGCTCTGCATCTCCGAGTCGCCAAACACTGTCGACGTGGGATCTCCATTTAACAACAACAGCTACAAGACGCTTCGTATTCTCGGCGAAGAACAGGGCTGGCTGCTCTCTATCTGGTGCACGGGTGATATTGAGCTCTACGACACCATCAAGGATCCGTACGAGGTGAACAACATTGCCAGCTCGACCGAGTCTCAGCACATCAACATGCTGAACCGGCTTAACACACTCTTGCTGGTTACCAAATCCTGCGAAAAGGGTTCCTGCCGTGACCCCTGGGCCGTTTTCAACCCACCGGATGGCAGCAAGATCATCTCCCTGAAGCAGGCCCTGGATCCAAAGTATGACGACTTTTTCGCCTCGTTCCCCAAGGTCCAGTTCGGCGAGTGCATGCAATACCAGTATGTGCCCAACGAGGAGCCATACTATCCAGAGATCCCGGTCCATGCCAGGGAAGGGCTGGGCAGGGAAGCCCGGGGTCCCACGGACAACTATATCTCGACCAAGGGCAAGGTTACCATCAAGGACAGCACGTACCATGGCACCGAAGCGCAGAGGCACGGGACGCTCAAGGATGTATACGAGAATGCTCGTCCGCTAACCGACTCGGAGCTCGTGTCTGATGATACTGTTAGCTCGAAGCGGTTCGCGGCGGTTCCAGAGCGGGATCTTGTCGGCATGGGATTCGACTAAGAAGGGGATGCGGTGCTCTAGTCCACATATACCCAGCGATTTGTTCAAGTAGAGCAGCTTGGGCTGTCAAATCACAGAACAAACATGGCTTGTTTTGAATAAGGAAGCGTTGCAGCAGAAGCAACTAACTATATCATTTGTGAAACCGTAATTACATGGAAGCGGGTGGTATCAAGCACTTGTGCGTGGTATCAAGACGGATGTCTTCTAACGATTTTCACGCAAATCTGCCCCTACTGACCGAGTATCTTCGGCGTTTTCAACGCCCAGTGCCATGGGTGTTCACGCTCAGCATCCTCCCTCAAAGGGATGGATAACTTCAGGGCGGAGAAGCCTTTTATGAAGTAATGGGAGCTGAAAGACCTGAAGAGGTGCAGTAGCCAAGCGAATCGATTAGTGATATCAACGGTTGCATGAACATACATTTGATCTATGACTGCTTAAACAAAGGACTTCTTACTCCAACGCAGATGCGATATTTCTGTGACCTTTGACCGGCGCCTCACTCACAACCTGGTGTGCACTGGCTCGTCACCAATCTCGTACATCCTGTCCTCCAGCTTCTTGGTCATCTCTTTTACAATGTCCGCATACTTGGGCTCGTGGTAACAGTTGAAGAGCTCCAGCGGGTCTTCTTGGCAATCAAACAGCTCCCACTCCTTCTCCTCGCCGCCCGGCCGGGTGCCCTCGATGCCAAAGTCTTCATTGTACCAGTAGATCAGCTTGTAGCGCTGATCCCTGACACCATAGTGGGCGTACGCCTCGTGAATGATGTCGCGGTGCATCCAGTACCGGTGGTAGGCGACCTGTGGCCAGTCCTGGGGCGTCTTCTCTTGCGTGAGGGCGCGGAAGGAGAGCCCCTGCATGTACGACGGGATCTGCACATTGGCGAAGTCGAGGAAGGTTGGCGCAAAATCCACGTTGCAGATGATGTCGTTGCAGACCGTCTTGGGCTTGATCTCGCGCGGGAAACGCATCACGAAGGGCATCTGGAAACTCTCTTCGTACATGAAGCGCTTGTCGAACCAGCCGTGCTCTCCGAGGAAGAAGCCCTGGTCTGAGGTGTACATGACAATGGTGTTCTCTGCGAGCCCGTTCGCGTCGAGGTGGTCCAGCAACCGCCCGACATTGTCGTCAATGCTCTGGATGGTCCGCAGGTACCGCTGCATGTACCGTTGGAACTTGAACTCGGCCAGCTCCTGAGGGGTGGAGAAGGTAAACTCCTCGCCTGTCTGCTTGCATCGAAACTTGAGCTGGGTGACGTCCTCGGGCGCGGGCAGCTTCCTGTCTGTCCACCACCAGATGTCCACCATCTTGGTGCCGAGACGGCTCGCAGGACCCTCGGGCTGCACGATGCCCAAGTCGTTGTAGGTCAGGTCCTCTGCGACGCGCATCTTGGCCACCTTGGCCGCGTTGGCGCGGTTCTTGTAGTCGTCAGTAAACGTGTCTGGGAGGCGTACGGGATCCTTGTACAGATCCTTGTGTTTGTCGTCGTATTCCCATGACCTGTGAGGTGCCTTGTGGTGGCACATGAGGAAGAAGGGTCGGTCCTTGTCACGCTTTTCTATCCAGTCAATCGACTTGTCGGTGATGATGTCGGTAGCATAACCGGGGACTCTCTCCGTGCCGTTGGGCCCGTAGAACTCGGGGTCCCAGTACTCGCCCTGACCCGGAACGATGCTCCAGTGGTCGAAGCCGGTTGGGTTGTGGTCCTCTCCCTCTCCAAGATGCCACTTGCCAATCATGGCCGTCTGGTAATTTTGCGGAGAGGACTTCAGCTGCTTGGCAACGTTGGGCAGCCGCTTGTTGATCTTGGAATCGAGCGTCATGACGCCATTGACGTGGTTGTGAGTGCCACAGAGCACGGCAGCTCGCGAAGGTGTGCAGATGCTGTTTGTCACGTAACAGTGGTTGAAGAGCATCCCCTCGTTGGCAAGCCTGTCCAAGTTGGGCGTGTGATTGATGCCAGCACCATAGCAGGAAATGGACTTGGCAGCATGGTCATCAGCCATGATGAAGATGATGTTGGGGGGCTCTTGTTTCGCCATCTTGACGGTATTGCGGATTGGATAAGGGACAAGAGTAGTGCACGAGAGAAGATGTAAGTGCTGTTGAACTCTGTTGTCTTGCACCTGAGGCTCTCTTGCTTGTGAGGACACGGAGAGAGATGGGGGAGATGGAGAAAGATGGAGGAAAAAGTTTGCCTTGAGACAACTGGTGGGCAAGAAAGTTAGAAGGGTTCTAAAGAGTTGAAAGCGAGACCAAATCCCTTGGGACAGCCCGCGCTGCGAGTACATAGCTCCAACGGCTGCAGGAATTGGAGCTACCTCCGGATTCCGCAGATCCTAGAACGGAGGAGATGGTGGGGGAATGGCGGGGAGACGAGGCACTCGGCGATCGTCTTGCTTCGGCGAACGGAAGTCGGCGAGAGCTGATTGCATCTTGTGATTCCGTCCGCCGAGATTCGCGGACCCGTCCGAGTCTTGCGAGCTTGAACAAACTGCACTGCAACTGCATACAGTCTTGCATTGAGTTGAGCGCCCTCGTTACACAAAGTCTCCATCCGCTGGGGAGAACTCCTGCCATCGCCACGCATCATAGGATCCCCACATCACCGTACTGAAGGGCTCCATGTCGAATACCCCGCCTTCGGGCTGGGGGTTCTGTGCTTGCGACAGGCTGAGGAGCATGGCGGCGTCTGAGGGGTTCCCGATCATCGGCGGTTGCTCCGCAAGGGCATTGCGGTCTAGGCTGGGCCGTTGGCCAGCTGCCGCGTGCTCCAGACGATTCCTTGGGTGTTTCAGGGCAGCCCCTGGCTGCTGCCGGGAGGAGAGAGGCGGCCTGCACCGACAAAGCCGTACCGTGGTCCATCTCCATGGTGTCGGAGCTCTCGTCATCGAACCGAGCCCTGCGGAGGGCACTGTGGACTCCCAGGCTCTTGTGGCGCTGGACCGCCCGGGCGTAGCGTGGTTGCTGTGTGCGCCCCGACATTTGCTCCTCCTCGTCCGATGACTCTCGTGTCCGGGTATGCGTGCTTTGAGAGTACTTGTCAATGACACTCTCCAAGTCCCGGACCGTGTGCTGCATTGTAACCGAGCAGTTGTGCTCGAGTCTCCGTAGCGTGGTCAGCATTTGCACGGCCGCACGATAGGCGTCCTCAAACATGATGTTCTGGCCAGCAGGGAGTAGCGAAGATCGGCTGAGGAAGAGTAACAGTCGTGACGCATGGTAGCCGCCAATGACAATGTCCAGTGGCACCGCGACAATGTCCACGCGTAGGTTGTCGAGGTCAGAAAGCACCCTAATAATCTCTTGTGCGTGTTCGAGGCACGTTGCCGCGGCTTTGTGGACGTATTCGGGCGGACAGGCAGCCAGCACCGCATCGGGGGCTGCCTCTCGGTAGCCAGAGAGGAACAGCCTCTTTAGATCACAGTAGCACTGATGCCACGACAAATGGTTGATGACATAACGCAACAGCCATCTCGACCGCTTGTAGCCTTCCAGCCTGGAGCTGTCGTACGGCCAGGGCTTCACGGCGTGCAGGCGCGCATAGAGCCCGTCCACCGCGGCGATGAGCTGTGCGGCGCTGATGTGTCCTTGTGCGAGTGCGTGCCTGGTAAACTTCATGATGTCTCGTTTCAACATGGCTTGTCGAATGTACAGCTCGAGGAGTCCAGCTTCTTGAACCCCGTCGAGGGCCATGCTGGGCGATTGAAGCTGGTGTTCCGGCTCCAGGCTGGGCTCAGAGAATGACGGTGGGTGCTCGGTGTGGAAGTCCTCTTCGGCACAGGGCAGCTTGAGGTACGTAAACTCGTGCGTGCACGTCTCGGCTTCCGGCAGGCCGATGGAAAAGTAGCTGTCGACCAGCATGACCGACCACATGAGGCGTCGCCGTATCTCCTGCGACAAGTGGCTCAGGTCGATCCGCTCGTAATGGAGCCGCAGCGCACTGGCAAAGCGCGACACCATGGACAGGAGCATGTACGCCTTCTCGAAGTTCCCAATCTCCATGTGGTAAAGAACAATAAGCAGAAGCGCCTGCGTCTTGAAGACGGTGGGGCGCTCAATGGTTTGCCAGATGGTGTTCTCGGCCTCTTGCACCCACACCGTCGTCTGCACGGGATAGTACTTGTTGTACTTGAGCGACATGGCCGAGATGGAGCAGATGGCCCTCAGCAAGACCGGATCGAGGGTGGAGGCCAGACATCGGTGCGTGATGGACAGCTCGTTCAGAAAGGACGCAGCGGGTAACGGGTGTATGTGCCGAAAGAAGTCGTTGATGAGCTGGAGTTGTTCTCGCAACGGTGGCAAGGAGAGCACGCGACCAGCTTCAGGGAGCAAGGCGTCCACGTCCATAGAGTTGAACGCCGACTGGATCCAAGATGCGCTTCCAGCAGACGAGACGTGCGAGCGGGGCATCATGTTCTCGCTCGCTGTTGGCCCCGTCGCCGAATGCGACGCCATAAAGGATGCGGTGACGGGTGACACGTTGACGCCGTCACTGGGTTGCCCTGAGGCGGCCGAGGTGTGCGAAGACGCCTCGACCATGTTTGGGCAGTCATCGCGCCGCGATCGCTTGGTCTCCGGATACGTGCAAGGCTTGGCGCGGTCACGACAGGAGGCACAGGCCGGGTGCTCGCCGGAGCATTTGGACTTGCCCGCGCGACACTGCAGGCACGCGCGAGACTGTCGCTTTTTCGCGGGCCGGTCGTCCTGGGCAGGCAATGGCGCAGTGTCTTGCGGCACGGTGGAAGCATCATGCCCTCCAAAGGAGCAATGGAACTGCAGGCGTCTGCAGTTGGCGCAGACGTCGGGGCCGCCACGGCAGCGGACCTATATGCAGATGCACGGTCAGACGCTTGCCCGGTTTCGATGTTACACTGCGCTTCTATCGCAATGAATAGAAGAGAAGTTGATGACTGACCTTGCGAGCGCGGCATTGACTACACGTATTGTTGGACCTTGAGGGCGGCATGTCTCAGCGAGATTTGGCTTGCATGCCCCCATCAACTAAGGTAAACTAGTGGATAAGATTGAGATTAATGTTGGGAAAACGAGATGGAGTGTGGAGAGAGGAAACTCTGGGCTCCAGAAATGATTCCCGCTAGAGAATCATTTAGTACCACGAACCCCTACGGTAGGTCATTCGACAACCCCCCACATTCACAATCACGTGCTAGCTGGTCGGCCAATAGTATGTATAGAGTAGACCTCGCCAAACGTGGGTTTGGGTTGGGTTTTCAATTTCTTTACCCGCCCACGGGTAACCCATCGCGGGTTTTGACCTTGGTGAACCTGTTGATTTATAGTGATGCTTCAGTGTTCATGTTGTTTAGGGGAGTTGATTGTGTTAGATACAGGTAGACTGGTGAACAGATATATAGGCATGCACGTGATCCCAGCCCCCATGATTATCCCAGTAACCGTGATTGTTGATTTATAGTGATGCTTCAGTGTTCATGTTGTTTAGGGGAGTTGATTGTCTAAGATACAGGTAGACTGGTGAACAGGTATATAGGCATGCACGTGATCCCAGCCCACATGATTATCCCAGTAACCGTGATATTTCAACACTCCCACTCGCTGATATCCTTCTGACGAAGGAGATTAGCGATCTTTTATCACGGTTGTCAAGCCCCATTAAAACCTCCCAAAACCAGTGGTAAAAAGGAAGGAAAGGGTGCTTGCATGCCGGTCTTTTGTTTTGTTTTCTTTTCTTTTAGTTTGAAGGCTCGTGCCTGACCGGGCTATTATTCAATGCCGAGGCCTTCTCGAAACCATTCAAATCTGTCTCGTGCAAGGGGCTTCGTGAAACCATCCGCTATCTGTTCTGACGTTGGGATATACTTGAGTTCCACTGTCCCGGCATCTTGGACTTCTCCTTGCCACTTTCGCTGGATTTCCATATGCTTTGTACGCGAATGATATTGAGGGTTTGAGGCCAGCGCAATGGCTCCCTGGTTGTCGCCGCAAATGATCGTTGCCCGTTGTCCCTGGCCCATATTCAGCTCGTGAAGGAGTCTTCTCAGCCAGATAGCTTCCTTGGTTGCTTGTGTCTGGCCTATGAATTCGGCCTCGCAGGTTGACAGGGCAACAACATTCTGGCGCTTTGATTGCCAGCTGATTGCTCCACTTCCAATGTTGAAAAGATATCCTGCCGTCGAGCGCCTTGTCTGGCGACAGCCGGCCCAATCTGCATCCGTGAAGCCACGGAGCATCTGGAGCTGGCCTTTATATGCGAGACTGAGAGATTTGGTGCCTTTGAGGTATCGAAGGATTCGACGCGCGAGCTTCAGATGTTGTGGGCCAGGATTTGTCAAGTGTCTGCTTGCCGCTGAGACAGCGTATGCAATATCGCCTCTGGTTCCAAGCATGACATACATCAGCGATCCGACCACGCGCTGGTACTCATTCTTTGTATTCGACGGGCAGATGTATTCAGGGCCGTTTTCTGGTAGAGGTGAGGTGTCGATGGGCGTGCTGACAGGAGCACAATCCAGCATCCCGAATTGCTGAAGGACTTTGCGCACGTAAGCCTCTTGGCTCAGATAGAGGATTCTGTTCTGCCGATCTCGTCGGATAGTCATGCCGAGATAGTAGCTGCAGGGGCCAAGGTCTGTCATATGAAAACGGTTTCTGAGGCTTCGCTTGATCTTCTTTATCTCTGCAATGCTTGGTCCGATGATCAAGAGGTCATCGACGTATACTGCGATGTACATGCTGCTCCGAACAAAGATACTGAGATCGGCGTTGATGGGCTCAAAGCCAAGATCTCGAAGGAAATTGGTCAGCGTCTGATACCAGATACGAGGTGCTTGCTTCAGGCCGTAGAGTGCCTTGCGAAGCTTGCAGACCCTCGATGTGCCGTCTGTAGCGTGATGAGGCTGTTCAACAAAGATCTCATGGTCTATCTCGCCATATAAGAACGCTGTTTTGACGTCCATTTGTTCGATCTCGAGATCCAGAGCTGCGGCAATTGCGAACAAGGCTTTGTAGCTCATTGGTTTGACTACGGAAGCAAATGTCTGATCATAATCGACACCTTCTTCCTGCGTGAAACCTCTGACTACCCATCTGCACTTGTGGCGGACGATTTCTCCGCCTGATCCTCGTTTGAGTTTAAAAATCCACTTCCCGCTCAGGATTCGGCGATCCCTGGGAGGGTCAACCATTTCCCAAGTTTTGTTTTGTTTGAGTGATTGTATCTCTTCGATCATTCCCTTTTCCCATTCGAGCCAGCGTGGATCATTCTTGGCCTGTCGAAGGGACTTTGGTTCGAAGGGTTCTATCTCTTCCGCCGCAACAGCCAAGAAGGTTGGAATGACGTTCTTGTGGGGGATATTCATCAATGCGACTTCTTCTTGGTCATAACCGGATGTGTCTCGAAAAGTTTGTGTGTCACGGAGCTTGAGTTCAGGGTGGCGTTCCAGTGAGTCTTTTTGCACTAAGTGTTTTGCACCACCCTCTCGTAGCTCGGAATAATCTAGCCAATCTGGGATTCGCCCTTGCTGAGCATCGCCTTGTTGCTGGTCGCTACCGGGTGGTGAGTCAAACCTAAGGGCGGAATCCTGTGAAGCAGGTGATAAGGGCCCGAAGGTATCATCACTCCGTGTAGGCGAAAAGGTTATAGCTCCTTGGCCAGCAACAGCGGGCTGCGAGGTCTTATCACTCGACTGAGGCAGATGCACTTGCACTATGTCGTCCCATGATCCAGGCTGTGTTTGCTCTTGTGGCGCCAGGGATGCCTGACGCCCCGAGGCTGGCACGGATGCATGTCGCATACTGGCCGACGGTTGGTTTATTAGTCCCACCGTCTCACTCCCCCCTGCGGCAGCAGCCGTTGCCACAGGAAAGCTCTGCTGTTTGGCTCCCACGTCTTGTATGGTCTGCGTGGAGGGAGTGTTGAGGACTTCATAAAATTCTGCATTTGGCGTACCAATGATTCTGCCGTCTTCTAGCAGGATGCGATAGTTTGTATTACCTTCGTATCCCAATAGTAGACATGGCCTTGTTCTTGGTCCCGTCAGCTTCTTTCTTTGTTTGGGTGGAATTAGATACTCTCCCTTGGATCCTATGACTCTCAGCCGTGACAGGTCAGGCTTGTCACCATACCAAGCTTGGTACGGAGTCATATTGCGTTTGGATGATGGGGATCGATTTGAGAGGAATGCCGCAGTTCGCGCAATCTCCGGCCAGAATTTGGGCGGTAGTTTCGCATGCCTGAGCGTTGGTCCGACTCGGTCGTAAATTGTCTTGTGGGCTCTTTCCGCTACCCCATTCTGCTGATGCTGGTCGACGCCCGTGACTTCGGCTCGGATTGCCCTCGAGAAGAGGGTAAATTTCATTTCTTCTCCCACTTGTTCCGGGATCCGGTCAAGACGAATGCGCCTGCATTTGCGCTCAGGGCGCTCATTGTGGTCGAGGAAGTACCGCAAGGACTCCACGACGTATTCTTGCCGTTGTGATATGGGGACGATCTCAACCCATCCAGTATGGTCGTCAACAATGGTTAGCCAGTAGCGACTACCATCAAGGCCCTCCTCAAAAGGTCCTGCAACATCGATATGGAGGAGTTCCATGGCGTATGTGGCTCTTTTGCACGCTTCTGAACGGCGATGGGGGTTTCAATCATTCTTCCCTGAAGGCATGCGTTGCAAGGTTGGCGTGGTGTATCGTCCTGAATGCCGTGAGCTTGCTTTTTGAGTCGTTGTATGTTCGCACCGCTCATGTGAGCGAGCCTATTGTGCCAAAGTGCCGATTGCGGGCTGACATGGTAGGCTGGAAAAGCAGGTTTCGACCATAGGTCGAGTGCGTAGACTCCATGATATTGGCTCGCAGTGAACAGATTTCTCCCATCTGATTTGTTCCGAATAAAGGCGCCATTTCTCGAGAAATCAATCTTTGCCCCCCGATTGAGAAGCTGCAGCACGGATATGAGATTCGCATGCGCAGTCGGGACAAACAAGACGTCATCTAGAACAAGCCATTTCTTTCTTCCTCGTACATTGCACAAGATATTTGCCACTCCTATGCCGGAAGGAGCCGTTGAGGTATCGACGCTTCGCAATGGTGGACCGTCATATTTGTCCATCTTAACGAATCTCAAGGCATTGTTACAGACGTGCTGAGCACATCCGCTGTCCACGATCCAGGCCTCACTGATCGAGGGAGCCTTCGTGACCATCATGCTGGGAATGAAATCAAATGTGGCAACATTTCCTTCAACTTCGGCTCCGAATGCTGCATTGATATCCTGTTTTGAGGCTTGTGTCGCCATAAACGTCGGTCTTTTGGGGTCTCTCGGTCCTTCTGAATCGTCGTCTTCATGATCCGTACTGGCCCGCCTCTTTGATGAATTACGAGGGTCCGCATGCGCATCTTTAGGGTTTGATCTGCGCGTCGTTCTCTCCTTTTCTTGGTCCCTCGGTTTAGGGTTCTTCTTGAAACACTGCGGCTCTCTGTGATAGGGTTTTCGACAGAAAAGACAGAAAGGGACATTGTTGATCTCGATCCGGCAAGTTTTCCCATCTGGAGACGGTATGACTTTCTTGTCTTCAAGTCTTCGACTGAGTGTGAAGGCAGGAAGGGCATTTGCATCTGCGGGTTGGTTGCCCAGCTGTCCTTTTCTGTGTTCCTCTTCAATGGCCTTGTTCTCAATGTAGTCGAATGTAGGAGCTGCTTTGGTGATATTTCCGTCCTCATCTCTATCATTGACAATGTCCATTTGCCGAAAGACATGGTCGCGGAAACTCTCATATTCTGGACCTAAGGCATGGAGGAAGAAGAAAGTTCGTTCAATCTCAGAAGTGACACATGCGGGGTCGAGTAAAAGTTTCTCGGCATGGATCTTTCTGATCTCGGCCCCGAGGGCTTGTGCACTCCCACATTTTGCCCGGGTAAGTGACATGTACCTCCTCTGAAGATTCACGTATGTTCCTGAACCTTCCGGCTTAAAGCTTTCTTTGACCGCTTTGATCAGTGACTGGACTCGGGTGATTTCGAAGGCGTTTATCCGCTGAGCCGCATTGTGGGTCAGCTTTGCCGCGATCATTGCCGAGTAGAACGTCTGGCGGTGAGACCATTGCTGCGCCTCCTCTTCTTCCAGAGGTGGGATGGCTTCATCCTTAGCCACAGGAGATATTCGAAGAAACTCCTTGACTTTCTGGTTCCACTGTGACCAGTCGTTGGCATTATCGAGTGTTGGTATGGCATGATAGAATGTGCTCAAGCCTATTTGTTCAAATTTATTCGAATCCATCGTGGTGGTTTTCAGGCTCTTCGGTGCTAAAGAATTCGGCACTTGACGAGCCACTTGAGTGAATTGAGTGGACAGAAGGCGTGCAGTTTGACAGCTCGGGAGACCGCGCCTCAAGACCGAATAGTTCCAGGCTTGATATCTCGCTGGGCGGACTAGAGCTGATGGAGTGGGAAGAATCCGATGAGCCTGGAGTAGGCGTATGCGATGGAGGAATGTATTCACTGTCCGATAGGTCGTATGGTTTGAGGTGATTGCGATACGACTCGAAGAAATGAGGAAAGCGGACGCGGTCAACCATATATCGTGGCTTTCGCTCTTGAAAGGTTGTCGGTCTGTTTGGTCGGAGGTTGTACCGATTTGAGTTATTCCCATTTGAGGTCAACGGTGCATGTCCAATCTCAGTGCTTGTTGAGTTGAGGTGATTTGGACCCTGCTCTGGACTGGAGAACGAAGGTCGAACTTGACGTGGAGAACTGTGTCCTGTGGTATGCCGGGAGTTGGCGATAACAGGCGCAGCAGCGATCGCCCGGCGAGTGCGCTCTTCCAGAGGTAAACGCCTATAGGCCCCGCCGAGTGCGTGTCGGGAAAGTAATGGAAACTTCGCTTTTTGGATTTGCGAGAAGCGCCACTGGCGGATGTATCGAAGATAGCATACCAAGTTGAGCTCTTCTTCAGTCCATCTGTGTCCCTTGTATGATCCTTTCCTTCTCGTCATAGGTCAAAATAGTGGAATGTCCTTTTCCGAGAATGCCAGGGATTTGAGAGGAAATGGATTCCTAGCATGCTACAGAGAGCAGGTCGTTTCTGGTGGCAATGTGATACGTCTGGAGCGGTGTGACGTTTGTAGCGGTGTAAGACGATGTTGTCTGTTGTGAAACATGTCTATAGACCATCATTGGTCTAACGACTTTCTGTAGCGGTGTGGTGGCTTTGTCAGCCTTGTGAGACGATTTCGCACAATTCGTTTGCCTGTTGATCCTCAGAAAAAATGTCTTCTCGGTTGAAGAACTAAATGAGAAATTCCAGTTCAGTCAATATATGTATGAAGCTTTCACTTAAGGGGGAAACTTAGGAGTAGAAAGTATTCTCCAGTTTGAGGTGAGCATTGCCGGGCTCATAACCTGTTGATTTATAGTGATGCTTCAGTGTTCATGTTGTTTAGGGGAGTTGATTGTCTAAGATACAGGTAGACTGGTGAACAGGTATATAGGCATGCACGTGATCCCAGCCCACATGATTATCCCAGTAACCGTGATATTTCAACAGTGATATTTCAACATGGGTCTTGGGTTGGGTTGCCCAAATGACAACCCGCCCACGGGTTTGCTGACTAAGACCCAACCCAACCCGTGGGCCGGGTTTTCGTGGGCGGGTTTGGGCCGTGGGCGGGTTTTGGCGAGGCCTAGTATAGAGAGCACTGGGCTCGATCCCTCGCATACTGAAAGCCGATGCATTGCAGGTCTGCTCGTTTTGTGGGAATATCGTTGCGCAGTGTTGCTCTATCTCACGGATCCATTTCCTGGCGACCTCTCTGGCTCGTCGGTTTTTGAGCTTGCATCCGTCACACAACATATTTTTTTTGCCACGTTTGCTAGTTCGGCTTGTAGCGTGATACTGTTGTTATTCAGAGGAAGATTGCTTGTATTCCTTCTGGACAGAAAACTTGAGGGTTTATATACACGTGCGACCTCCAGATTGATTTCCAATCAACGCTGGTAATTCCGTGAGGTTAGGAATTGATTCCGTTACGATACGACATATCACAACATTCCCCCTCAGGATCGCTCGAGCAGGGTGATACTGGACTTCGTAATGGCCCAGGCCTCGGTAAAACCACTAAAACCTTTCTTGAAGGAGAAAAAGTGGAAAGAGTGCCATGGTGTAGTTATCCTGCCTGTATGCCGATGAGGTTGCAGAACCTCAAGAATGGCTTTGGTCCTAATGGCTTGGTGAGCCCATCAGCCGCCTGGGAATTGGTTGGTATGTACTGAAGACCGATTTCACCAGCGTTTAGGACTTCTCGTTGATAGTGAAATTTCACGTTGAAATGTTTCGTTCGTTTGTGAAATTCAGGATTATGAGATAGGGCGATAGCAGACTGATTGTCGGCCATGATATTTGTGACTGGAGATTGGAAGAGATCGGTTTCAGCAAGGAATGTCCGAAGCCACTGTAGATGAAGGATGGCATTATATTGACCAATATATTCAGCGTGAGTGGTAGATGTGGCGATTTCCCCCTGTCTTTTAGATGACCAGGATATTGGTGCTCCTGCTAGCTTGAATATGTATCCGGATGTGGAGTAAGCACCGTCAGTAACCACAGATCCACCGAAATCCGCGTCAGTATAACCGATTAGTTGTCCCGCTTGGTAAGTGATCTGGTATGACTGAGTCGCCTTGAGATAACGCAGGAGTCGTTGCAATGCCGCTTGGTGATGCAATTGCGGCCGGGAAGTAAATCGACTTAACGTTCCAAGCGCAAAAGCAATATCTGGTCGGGTTCCGACCATCAGATACATTAGCGCGCCAACAGCAGAGCAATAGCGGTCTTTGGAATTCTCATCAATGTCTTCTTCACCTGGCCGTGTATTTAATTTTGCTTTCGGATTCATAGGAGTGTTCTTTGGTTGACAGTCCTCCATACAGAAGTCAGAGAGCACTTTCTGGATGTACTGATGCTGATGAATAGAGACTGATCCGTCAATATTGAAGTTGAATTGGATTCCAAGGAATGAACGCGGAGATCCCAGGTCATTCAATTTGAATTCCCGTTCAAGAGCTCGTCGGACATTTTTGATCTCATGGGTCGTTGCGCCTGCCACAAGGAAGTCATCCACATACACACAGACTACACAGTTGTCCTTGTAGAAGACACAGTTATCGGATTGTGCCATAGTGAAACCGTTTGATTGTAGCACCCGTTGAACGCAGCGATACCAAATTCGAGGTGCTTGCTTAAGGCCGTAGAGGGATCGACGTAGTTGACAGACGTATCCCTCCTTCTCAAAGCCTTCCGGAAGCTCCATATAGATAGCCGTGTCAATATCTCCATGTAGGAAGGCAGTGACCGCGTCAAACTGGTGGAGCTTCCAGCCTTTCAGCACAGCACTTGCGATGATACAGCGGACAGAGTCCATGCGAGAGACAGCTGCGAATGTGTCATGATAGTCAATGCCATGTCTTTGGCGATAGCCTTTGATCACTAGTCGTGCTTTTCGGACCTTGTTTGCTTTGGTCTTAAACACCCATTTGCAACCAATGACCTGTTGTCCCGGGGGAACATCTTTTCGACGAATGAGTTCCCATGTCCCGTTATCAAGTAGAGACTGGTATTCTCTTTGGATAGCCGTTCGCCATTCAAGATGTTTCTGACCGGATATGGCCTCTTGAAATGTAAGCGGGTCATCATTTGTGGAACCCATTGGCGAGGTTATAATATAGGCTTTACCAAGAGATTCTAAGAGTCGTCGTGATGGTCTGCGTTTTCGCCCGTAGAGTGAATACCCTAGGTCATGTATGTCTTGGGCATCACTGATAGCTGGGTTGACAGGCTGTGGAGTTGATTCTGGCTGGCCAGTCTCATTGGTGTGTTGGTTTGAGTGGTCAGGTAAGTTAGACTCTTGCTGCTGCGGCTCGTTGGAGGGAGATAATGGATGTGGCGGTGTCAACGGTGCTGGTTCTGGATCAAATGCTGTCGGCTCAGGCATAACTTGTGGCGTAGAGCTACTAGCAGAGATGTTATGACTAGCACTTTCTTCAATGAGCGGAGCCACAGGCGTTCTTTCATCAAACTCGACATCACGAGAGAAGACTGTCCTGCCTGAATGCACTTCGTAGAGCTTGTATTGACTAGGTTCGCAATAGCCTAGTAGCCGGCATTCGGATGATCTTGGTCCGATTTTCTCTCTCTGTGCTTTTGGAATCAAAACCCATGCACGGGAGCCAATTCGACGCAGGTGTGATAGCTCGGGAATTGTGCCATATATGGCTTCGTACGGCGTCTTTTTCTTGAGGATAGACGCGGGAGCGCGTAGTTTGAGATAGAGCACTGTCTCTAAAATCTCAGTCCACCAGGAGGGAGGTAATCTCGCATCAAACAGGAGCGTATTGATTCGTTCCTGGATAGTACGGTTCGTTCGTTCGGCTAACCCGTTCTGTCCTTTGCAGTATGGAGCAGATGTGTCAAACTCAACCCCCTGGCGTTCGAGGTAGGCTCCAATTGGGAGGTATTCTCTGCCATTATCACAGAGGAACCGTTTGATTTGAAGCTCAAATTGCCGATTGACCCAGGCCTCAAAGTGTTGAAGTTTCTGGAGCGCTTCGGATTTTCGTTTCAAGGCGTATGCCCATGAGCCTCGAGAGAAGTCATCAGTGAAGGTGATAACGTACCTAGAGCCATCTTTGCCGACTGGCATCTCTAGAATATCAGAGTGTATGACTTCAAATATTCTTGATGAATGGAGATGTGCCCTTTTTCGTCGGGAGTTCCTCTTCTGATGCTGCTTACCCGACATACAAGCCGGACACTGTGGCGTTGCCTGCAGTTCTGCACTTGTCTGTTGTTGGTACGGAGTGCCAGTTTGAGAAAGGACCGTCCTTAGGTCTCCTCTGTTTAGATGCCCTAATCTAGCATGCCAGAGTGCTTCTTTAGGGATCTGGTCAACTCCTCTGCTTGCATCTTCATCGAGTATCTGAGCATCACAGTTGAGTTCAGAGGTGGTCACTGCGCTCGGTGCACCACTTGACTCTAGCGGTTCATCGATATCCATTTCGATACAATTATCATGATTATTAGATGATGATGACCTGGCCAGTTGGACCTGAGGTCTGGATCTCTTGCTCACATAGCATCGCAAGATCAATAGATCTTCTTCTGTATGGAAGGCAGCCCCTATAGTTCGCCCTCGGCGTTGCAGAAAGACGTTCTGGGGGTGCGCTATCATAGAATAGCGATCCCTCAAGAGCTTTGGTACGCTGATCAAGTTCATCCCGATTCGGGGAGCGTAGTAGACATTCTTGAGGATCAGGGTTCGGTTGATCTTCCCCCTGAGCGTAAGCTTGATGGTGCCAATGCCCTCAGCTTCAACTGGATCTCCCGCTGTGTCTAGCATCTCATGGTGGATTCGGAAACTGCTAAAACAGTCCCGGTCCCAACAGATATGGCTAGTAGCGGCAGAGTCGAGTATCCACCGGGGATTCGGCGCGTGGGTATAGAGAGTCGTCACTCTCGCCCTCACAATATTGATCCTTGGTCTCTTGTAAGAAGTCGGCGGGCCCTGCCGTTCTTCTGCCTGGCCTTGATGTGATTCATTTTGTGGTGAGCCAGAAACACTCCTTTCTGTTTTGACACCGTTGTCCCGCTTAGGGCGCAAATGCGGGTTCTTTTTCCAGCATTTCGAGACTTCATGGCCTCGTTTCTTGCAGTAATTGCATTTCTTGACAGACGCCTTCACTGTGTTAACTGACGGTGCTCCGCGCGGAGGAGTTGGAGAATTCTTTGCTGAAACTGTCCGTTCAGCATTTGCAAGGCGATTCCCAATCATGGCGGGATTGGCCGGATCCTTGTCATTTTGGATGGCATCAACTACCAGCGCATATTCCGGTCCGATCTGAGTTAAGAGGATTGCAACGTGTGCGTGATCCCCAATTGACCCTGGCATGATCGCATTTAAGCGATGTACTAGCAATCGGACTCGATCAACGAATTCACGTATACTAGTGCAGCTAGATCCAGTCGTTTCTTTGAGCTGGGCGAAAAGTTCGCAGAATGTAGCTAGCTCCATTCGTCTATATCGCTCTTCAAGGTCGTTCCAGAGATCTCGAGATGTTTCTAGCCCTGCAACATGAACACTGATTTCGACGGAAAGATATCGAAAGATTGTGTGATAGGCTTCAGCCTCACGTTTGGACCATTCCTGATGTCGCTCAAAAGCCTGGACTTCAGCTTCTAGACGAGCTTCGATAGCCTTCTGTCTTGGGGCTCCAATAAGGCGTTCATCAACCAGTGGAACAATGTCGGCCGTAATCGGTTTTGCGTATTTAAAAAGGCAGTTAGGGCGTTGGAGATCTCCGGACACGACATCCCAGACTTGTCTTGCCTTTAAGTAGGAAGTCATAAGATGCTTCCAAGTTGCATAATTATCACTCCCTGTTAAAGGCTCAATAGCCGCGACATTTCGGTCGGGAGACTCGGTTAGATGTGCAGGCATCGTGGCTGTGCCTGAAGTGCGGGGTAAATATAGCTTCAACAAGTTGTTGTATGCAGTGGTTCTCAGAGTGAGTGGAGACGACACCCGAGAAGTTAGTGCCCGGGCTCATAACCTGTTGTTATTCAGAGGAAGATTGCTTGTATTCCTTCTGGACAGAAAACTTGAGGGTTTATATACACGTGCGACCTCCAGATTGATTTCCAATCAACGCTGGTAATTCCGTGAGGTTAGGAATTGATTCCGTTACGATACGACATATCACAACAGATACCCGCGGAGTTGATATCCAATTGTGCTAGGTCAATTGTTGCGTAGATACGATATTATTGACGTACGGTGTTACAGCAACGAGCTCCGGTACATTCGGGACGATGGGTGGGATCGTCAATAATGCGGCCGAAAATCGATGGACTGTCCATCCAGTTGGAGGGCATTATGTAGATGAGAAGTGTTCGCAGCTCGGCTCGTGGGATGGATGTGGTGAGGGGCAAACAGGGACACGGGGAGATGGTCGCTCTATATAAAACCAGCAGATGATTCCAGGCCCACCAATCACACTGGTAAACTACCTTAGGGCTCCTAGTCCCCATGGTCCACACCTTGCTCCTGGGATTCACTAGCGTCCCCCGAGCAGTTCCCTCTGCACGGTCAGTGGCTCCGGGATTAATTTGGCGGTTCCTGGGATAGTCCTTTGAGGCATCGAAAGATCGTGATTCCCTCCAATCAGATTATAAGCAGAAGAGGATACGAGCCCCGGCTACGACCGTCAAGATGGAATCCTCGATGCGAGGACACATCTCTACGTCATTAATATTAGAGCACCTAGAAGGGCAAAGGACTATAAATCGGATGCTAGGGACAACAATATTGTGACGGATGAACCTGGGAATAGCCTCCTCTCGTGGAAGGATGCCTGAGGCATAATATTGGGTCGTTTGCACTACGCGTTTGCTGGGGACTTAACCCCTCTGTTTCTGGCGGACTTTCTTTCTTTCTCCTTCCTTCTTCATCTTCGAGATTCTCGTCCTGTAGGCACCGAATGAATGTGTTTCTTTCGAACGGCCCGTAACAGGATATGGTATTGGGTATTTGGATTACGTGTTCTTTACCGCCTCTCACTAGCTTCCTAGAAGCACAGCCGGTGGCAACCGAAGGCACTGTCCGGTATATCGAGTAGCAGATCCCCGAACTGTATTTTTCCTCAACCTGGGTTCCTTTTTCCCTAGAAATCAACTTTGTACTCCACAGCAGCCGCCGGAATCGCTTGCAAAGGATAATAAATTTGTACTGGATAACCGGTGGATTTTCGAGGCAATTGAGTGCGGGCATTCTGAAACTTTTGACTCAACAATTCTGTGAGTTCCGGACCTAAGACTTGCCGTCTGTAAAGATGCTGTGTACAGCAACGTTCATTAGATGCTTTTCAAGCCAACTTTCCGGACAGGCGGGAGGAATGTATCAGAGCAGTTGAGAGAGTCGAGGCTCTCTATCCGGCATATGTGGTACCTGAACATGGAAACCAGAATTAAATATATGGCGTTTGGTATCTGAAATCAACGAAGAAATACGTCCAGGACTTTAACGATCTGTTAGAAGAAAAGCCGAACAAAATTGTACTCTGCGATGCTGGAAAGGTACCCTGACAGATTCAATTCGATGGCCCTAGGCATACATGTCTGCGAAATACCCCCAGCAAGCTGAGGCACATCAAGAAGTTGGCAACTAAATAGCGCTATATTTAATGGGAATGGATAATTGCAAACGCTTCTATATTTCGCCACTTTGGTAGGATTTCCCAGCCTATTATTTTTCTTCTTAGTAGTGTTAAATGTAGGTAGCTTCCTAAATCACTACACCCTGAGCTAGCCAACCTGGTGGTTGAGGAAGAGAGTCAGCACGTGCACAGGCGCGACATCGAGTGGTAGCTGTTCGGTTGTGTGCCAAAAGGAGGCTTGAATATTCGGTATCTAAGAGAGAAAAAGTGAGGCTATATACACCAAAGGATGAAAAATATTCCAATCAACTTGTTTCTTTCCTTAAACACCTGCGGAATTTTTCCAGTGGCACGACTGTCTTCCCGACCTGCACCAGTCCTATATCACAACGGTCCCAGTGGCTTAACTTAAAGCAAAAAGACATCATTTCAAGTCGGCTTTAAGCCGTCAAGCCAAGACCAGATCTCTTGGTTGACTTTCTCCGCCTGTTCCTGAAACGGCCAATGACCTACTCCAGGCAACGTAACCAGTCGGGTAGCTGCAAGGAAAATCTGCGGGATTTGGTCGAGGAATTTGGGGGAGAAGTATTCGTCTTCAACACCCCAGATTATGAGTGTTGGAATTTGGAAATGCATGTGGGAGGTATCAACCTTCTGACCGTAGGGAGGCCCGGGGTAGTTCTTTTTGTAGTAGGCGAACATGCCATGCATCGGAGAGGTACGCATGTACTCCTGTACTGCTTGCCGACGTGCAGGATCCCGTATGAATTTCACAACATCCGCCTCATTCTTTTCGCCTCCAGGTTGATACTCCATGAACTTTATCGTATACTCGGACATTTTCTGCTGGCCTTGATCAAAATTCACTAGATCATACAGCCTTGGCACAACAGGCGTGTTGATGAGGATTAGTCCCGCAACACGGTCTGGCGCCATCATCGCCAACATCTGAATTGCTGCTCCGCCAAAATCATGACCTCCGATGATGGCCTTTTCGGCCTTGAAATGGCCAATGATTGTAACCATGTCGCCGACGACATGCGACAAATCGTACGCATCCGCGTCATCTAGCACGTCGCTCGGAGGGAATCCGCGCAAGATTGGACATACGACCGTGTATTTCTTTGAAAATTCCACCATCTGGGCCTTGAACGTCTCTCCATTGTCAGGAAAGCCGTGAAGGTGAAGCAATAGAGGTCCCTGGCCAGCCGCACGATAATGGGTTCGGACACCGCTGTTCTCCCCAAATCCTTCATAGGGTTGAGAGTCAGTGCTAACACTAGCCATGTTCAAAGAGTAATAGAACGATTTGAAAAACCAGTAATATAAAGACAATTTGTATTCCTCTATCTGCCTATAGGGAGGGCTGACTTTAGTATTTATGTACGTACCCGTAGGGACGGTTCAATTAGGAGCCTAATGATTCGCCACTTCTTCGGGGGTAAAGGAATCGCGTCTTAACAAGGTTGCGCCTATTTTGGACAGAAATTTAGCTTCCTTTGAAAGACATTCGAATACCGACTTAGTAATCCAAGGTCGCGAAAAAGGTGGACTAGTTTAACTAACGTAATCCACTAGCGAGTGAGACACACGGGCCCGTGAGACAGAAAACCAGCTACTATAATTTCAACCCAATTTATTAAACCAACAACGCCATTGATTTCAAATTTCTATCTATTAGACCTATCAGGGCATTGCGTTCTTTTATGCCCTATTTGATGACAGTCGCTGCATCGCGGGGGTGCGCGTGTAATTGGCTGGGAAGCTGACGCAGCTGGTTCCGCGGGGGCAGTATTAGGAGCTTCATGAGCCTGGTTCATCGACTCCCTGGCTTCTTGGCCCGTAAAACCCTCCGTATGAGCTACGCGCTTAGTCGTTCTGTTGCGTTTTCGCTTTTGTGTCTCGTTTTCAGCCCGTAAATCGCGGACTTCCTTTAGAAGGATTGCATTAGAATGCAACGATTGCTGATAGCCCTTGAGGAGCTGATCAATAGCTTTATTCGTAGGCGTCGGAGGGCTTTGCGAACGTTTCTTAAGCAGTGCCTTGATTGAAGAGCCCTGTCGATTCAATTGTTTGGGATTTGCCGGCGTTTTAGGGCTCCACGCGCTCGATTGGCTCCCTGGTCGACTACCTGAGGGGGTAGGTGTCTGAAGTTGAACATCAAGCTTTGAAATGACCTGATCGGGATCATATGGTACTAAACCAGCTGCGACGAATGCATTTTGAATAGTCTCTGGTTTAAAGGCCTCTTTGCGAGCTTGTGGGAATGCTGCAAGGAAATCACTTGTCGATATGGTTGACCCCCAACCGTGCTTTGCGCTCAATCAAGCTCCCATACGCGCGCTTTAGGGGGGCAAAACAGCCTATATCCAAAGGCTGTAGTAGATGAGACGAATGCGGAGGCATGCAGATTGGAATAATATCATTTTGCTCGCACAATCGATCAAAACGGGGGGTCAAATGACTGCCATGGCCATCGAGAACTAGTAGTCGATATTTACCCCTAGTACGACTAGTAGTCGCAGGGATAAATAGCTTTTCTAGCCATCGAAGCCCAATTTCGTCTGTAGTCCAGCCATTCTCACTGATTTCGATTCTCCAATTGTCGGGTAGGTCATCAAACCATGCATATTGTTGGTACTTTGACGATTTGAAGATAATGCATGGTGGGAGTATAAAGCCCGTTGAATTCACACATTCAATCGATGTGACCCATTCGCGATTCCCTGGCTGTAGAACTGACCTCCGACCATAGTATTCAGCTCTTGTAATGACTTTCGCAGTGGCTATAAGCCCCATTGCGAAGCCAGTTTCATCAAAATTGTAGATATCCTCAGGTTGGATACCATTCTCATCGATCGTGCGTCGTACAAGGTCGAACCATGGTTTAATAACCCTTGGATCTTCGCATTTTGCCCTCTCATAATTATATCGACGAGAATACCGCGATTTGAGCTCATCATAGCGCTCTGTATATCTGTAAACCCAATTGACTCCAACAGTCTGACTACCACGCTCTGCTAGTAGAATATTGGCCATATCCCTTACCATACAAGGCCGGGGAGCTGATCCACGTGTATCCATAGAGAGTATCCACCGTAGGAGCGATTCCTCTTCAGTTGGAGTCAATTTATAATTGCTGGCGCGGGTTTCCGACCGATGAAGTTTGCCATTGTATCGGCGATGGAGAGTTGCGGTAGGTACTTGAAATCGGCGCGCAGCTTCGCGAATTGATCGAAATTCTTCGTTCTGAAAGGCTTGTATTGCGAGCTGGATCCTACCTTCTTGGTTGATAGAATTTTGAGGAATTTGACTGCGAATTGGGGGCATAGTGGGTAGTTGAAATGAGGAGGTTGACGCGCTGGGGCGCGACCGCGGTTTCTGTCTCACGCGCCCGTGTGTCTCACTTGCTAGTGGATTACGTTAACTAACCCCGATCTTGTTTATTAATCCTTCTCCGCATGTGCGGGGAATATCAGAACCGTTAAAAATGATCACTAATCCCTCCGTCAGTGGAGAAAGTAATCACTCTATTTCTGATTTCGGCTGTCATCGATGATGGATGGTGTGGGTAAAAGACTATTTCGTTTTGCAGCAAATCTTCGGCAATCCTACATTAGCCGTCCGCTCCCACCCCAAGGTCGTTCAGATTTCTTCCTTAAGGTGCCCGTTGATACGCTCTTTATCACTAAGCTTTAGAATCATCTACGAGAGATCAGCCACCACAACTATCGCCATGTCCAGTTCCCTTCAAGTGGATGTGTACTGTGCGCCAGTTATCCCCGCAGTGACTGGCTACGAAGAGCCGATCAAACAATTGTAGTCCCCGATCTGCTGCACGCTGATTCAAGGCCCTACTTCGGCAGTCCTTGTCGACACCCCGACCACGGCCGAACTGACTAAAGGATTGTCCGAATGGGTGAAAAAGACAGCACCTGGAAAGAAACTCAAGTACATCTACACCACCCACGCACATGGGATCATTTCTTCGGCAATCCAATCATCCTCAAGGACTTTCCGGAAGCCAAATCTGTCGCAAACTCTTTTGTGTCCGACGGAATCAAGGAAGCATTGACAGAAGACAATATTGCTACCTGGAAAGGGATGTTCCCCGACCAGTTACCGGACGGCCAGATTGTGCATGAAGCTCTTCCGGCCAACGGCGAGTTTGCCATTGACGGCCATAGCCTCTTTGGTATTGACGTCGTTTTCTCGGACACCCAAAATTCCTCCTTCTTACATGTGCCTAGCCTTGATCTTGTGGTCTCCGGTGATATTGTTTACGGGGAATGCTTCCAACATCTCGGTGAAGCCAATACTCCGGAAAAAGAAAGCATTGGCTTGATGCATTGGACCAAATTGCGGCGCTTCAGCCGAGTATCGTTGTCCCGGGTCACAAGAGGGTATCTCAGTCGGATGGGCCGTATCTAATCGACTTGACAAAGGAGTATATCCACGCATTTGAAGAAGAAGTAAAGAAGTGGAAAGATGCGGACAAGGTCGAGGATGCTATGAAGAAGCGCTATCCGCAGAGGTGGAATGAGTTCATTTTAAGCAACAGCTGCAAGAACTCCGTTGCACAGTTAATGGAAGCCGAGAAGAAATTCTCAATCTGATACCTTGAGGGTCGATCCCTTAAGTTGGCTGAATGAGAAATATCCTGTTATAGTACTCTCTCAAGTTAACTAATGGGTGTTGCCGACTATCTCAGGGGTGGTCTTGCCACTTGGATGGGGCTGGTAATATCTGCATGCATATTTGCTGCTCCAGTTCTGACTCAACGTTCTGGTAGTCTCGGCAAGGTCACGAGAAGCTTTTAGTGAAAATCAAATGATTGTTCAAGTTACAGAATAAAGAGACTTTAGTTCCGCCTGGTTTGAGGATCACCGTTATAATCTAGCGAGTTTGAATTCGGAGTAGGGAAAAATAAGGGCTACTACGTTAAAGAAATGGTGGGTGAAATCTCCATAGTTTTAGGGAACATCATTAGCAATTCTACAAATAGTAGAGATAAAACGAGAGAGCCCAGCAATCGAGAAATATCTTCTCATAGATAGTGGCAAGCGGCAGCCGCTGGGAGTTTGGAGTCGCCACGATGACTTCTACTTCATTGTTAAATTATAGATATTCAGGAATAAACCTGGAATAGGATAACAGGGTTTATATACAATCTGGTTATGCACTTATGCTATCTGACAAGTACGTAGGCGATATAAGACATAAATTGATGTTCAACATCACGACCGAGATTGAGTGTTGGGAAATGCCGGCCAAAGTGAGCAGCCAGGACAAGCACAACCGTTTAGCTCGGACTCGCGCCATGACAGGTGGTGCTATGTCTAACAACAGAATACAAAACAGAGAGTCATGGGGAGCATATGAAACAGCCGTATAATAAGCGTGATGAATCTTTCACAGTGAGAAATTCTTCTGCACCTTAAGAGACCACGCCTCGGGTCGATTTGAGAGCTCAGTAGGCGCCGTCCCATACGCTAGGTTTATTTTCCTTCGCCCACAGCTGTTCCACATCACTCCCAAACGGAGGAGGAATTAATCCATTGACCCGCCAGAGTCTCCGCTCAGTCTCATCGATATGGAATTCCCATTCATAACCCTTGTCGGCAACATGCGGCTTCAACGTCTTGTCAAATGTGTCAGCTGTGCGCTTATAAGCGAGGTCCTCTTTCTCAAGCCGAACAGCAATGTGTTCGGCAACGATTCGAATAAATGGCTTCTCCGTTTTCCTTTCACCACCAACCCAGACATCTTCAGTTGAGAGCTTAATAAAGTTGACGACCACATAGAAAGGGGGAAGACCGATTCCGGTGTATATTTTCGTTATATCTTTGGTCAAAGCTTGCTTAGCGATAACGTCCTCAAAAGTCCCCGGGGGTGGAAAATGAGCCAAAGAGGCATGTTGAGCGTATTTGGTAGCTATTCGGAAGGGACACCGGGGAATATCTCCGGCGGAGGGCACGAAAGAACAAGGTCAAATTCTGAGCAAATATGCAAGTTCAAAATAAGTCAGGGCGTGAGCATTCATAAATACAGTGATGCGCGTCTCACGCGTTGAAGTTTCATTACCCCGCATTAACTCGGTGGTCTCGTCGCTCGTTGCTCAACAAGCCTTCTCCACTAGACACGAGGCATCCCCAGCACGCGGTTCAATATTCACGTCTTCCATGATAACTAAACACTCCGAATTTACTAAACATTAGCTTTCCGGATGTTGACGTGGCTGTGCGAAGAAATGTAATCAGAATATGAGATTATACCGCGGTCTCGGTAACCGCGGCTATGTGAAGGTTAAACTTTTGCAATGTTTAGTTAACATATTCCGTAGGTATATTGAATATGTGGGCGGGGTCAGACTAGACCACTTGCAAATTTTCACATAAGGAGGCAGGAATGACGGACTCTATAATTGTAGAAATATCAGAATATAATTTGCCGCATTAACTGTGGGTTTTCGTTGTCTCTGATTTGCTCCCTGACTTTGTTAGAGACAAATAACGATATAAAGTGTAGCGTAATCCAAGAGCGAGCGGTCAACTCCAAAATGCTTTAGTAAACGAAATAGTTGACAACATTATGTCTCATCAAATATGGGCTATCTTGATCTCAAAATTAGACTACAGACTATCCTAGCTGCCAGAAGCAACATATCTTATTTCTCGGCCATTTGATTGCTAATTTTTCTAATATTACAATAAATTACGAAGCAATTTTGACCCTAAGTGTGAAAGACCTATTTCCTAATGGGGTTCTGAACTTAAGTGTCCACTAACATACCTCAAATCCCTTTCCACTTAACTGGATTCGACAATGTATCCTAATAGGATACGGTAGTTAGGGTATGAAGTTGTAATGTATCTGAGAGTGTGAGATGTACAGGATGATCGTGAACGGGTGAGAAGCAGGTGGTATTGGCTATCTGCTGCTATCTTCTGCTATCCGAGAGAGAGAGAAGAGGAAGGAAGAGAGAGCGTGGGAAGTGAGAGAAGAGGTACAGAGTCAGGTGACTGTGGTGACTAAGTGAGTACCTGATGTATGTACGCTCAGTATCGTATTTACTACGTGTTTTGGAGTTAACCGCTCACGCGTGTTGACCGCTCGACCGTGGATTACGTTATAGAGTGGACTGTGGTTGACATCGGCTGGATCAGTAATCGCAGTAACATCCCAAACTCTGGATACTGGATGAACAGGGATTGTCGGATTTTTGTCAGGATTTCTAATTCCTTCTAATGTTTGGTGTACACCCCCCTTTTCAGCGCTGCACTCTGCACTCCCCTGGTTCCGGTTCCGTTTTTTCCGGCGCCCAGCCTGCAGTTTACCAACTTCTAAGAATCACAACGTATATAAAACGACATCTCATCGCTTCTAACATGGTAGCATTCCCAAACAAATACGGGTACAAAAAGACAGCAGTAAAGTGACCTCCAAAATGCCCTTCAGAGACATTGAGTTCAAAACATTTGATAACCTCACCCTTCGAGGATGGCTCTTCATCCCTAGCTCCTTTACTGGAAAGGTGCCATGTCTTGTCATGGCGCACGGCTTTGCAGCCCATAAAGAAATGGGTTTGAACAATTTCGCGGAATACTTCACGTCGAACTTGCGTATCGCCTGCCTTGCTTATGATAACCGTTGTATCGGCTCCAGTGAGGGCGAACCAAGACGAGAAATTATCCCAGCATTGCAACTAAATGACTACTCGGATGCTATTACGTTTGCGCAGTCCCTACCAGAGATTGACGCAGATAAAATTGCCATCTGGGGCAGTTCATACAGCGGAGGTCATGTTCTCACTGTTGGTGCCGTTGATCGTCGGGTCAAGGCTGTAATCAGTCAGGTGTAAGTTTTCCCTTACTACGACTATAATCACCGGCATAATATGTGCGTGTCTGATATTCGTTTGTCCGGGCAGACCCTTAACCAGTGGATGGGACAACTTCCATCGTATACACAGGGCAGATTTTATTCCAAGGTTGAACGAGTTATTTGCGGACGGTGAGCTTCAAATTATTCTCGAAGCATAAATTATAACCAAGGGAGGGTTCATCCTGCTGACGAGCTCAATTTTGAAAAATAGATCGCCATGCTCGTGCAAAGGGAGACAAGCCAGGTCGGATGCCTGTTGTGGACAAGGACCCTCACGCACTATCTGTTCTTCCTTCAGAGGACAGCTACAACGGCTATATTCAAGCAGAATCGTTGGGATGGAAGAATGACGTAACCCTAAAGAGGTATTGTTCATGTCTTATATTATACCCTTTGTAAGTTGTGAGTAGATGCGGCTCTAACTATCAAATAGCCTCGAGGCATTCCGAGCATACGAACCTGGAGCCTATATCCAGCGCATCTCGCCCACTCCGTTATTAATGATTGTCATGGACAAGGACCTTGTCACACCTACTGACATCGCCCTGGATGCCTTTGCCCGAGCGAAGGAGCCGAAGCAATTGCACATAATCCCGGGGGGACATTTCGAACCATACGACGGGCCTCTTTTCCAGCAAAATGTCTCAGTCCAGGCCAAGTTCCTGCAAGACCATCTTTTGGAGTAGGGGTGCGCTAGCAGAAGACAGGCATTACCCTGTTCTTTGGCCTTCTTACTTCCATCGAATGGTTTTAAGTCAGTTATCGCAGTCGCTGATGGATCCATCTGATTTTTAAATTAAGCGATAACCAGCTATCGAGTGAGGCCTGGGTGACAACTGATCTGTGACGAGTAGTTTGGTGTTCACTATGTGAAGTGATAGTGTCGGGATATATTCTCCTGTCAGAACAAACTAGCGGTGACCCACTGCTAGCGACCGTTGGATAACATCCCTTGCTTGGTGTACGCATTCTTGCATTCTTGCGCTGGGCTGTGGCCCCGGTGTTGTGACCGCCGAAGGCCGGAGTGTGGGATCTAGGGGTGTTTTCCAACTAGACTGAGAAGGAACATCTATCTACATGAATCAATTGACTTTTGCTTTGATAGAATACACACTGTCCAATTAACTGTGTAAACAGTACCTAGCTAGTGATACCAACAGCTAGCTTTGCATTTGAAGTTTGCATGTTTGGTGATAGGAGCAAATTTACCGAATCGGGATGATAAGAGATGGCGCTCGTTATCAGTGAGATATATCACACACCACCCCACCAGATAGATTCTCTTCTTCGTTCTGTTCCCTAGACTTGATTCCTTTGTTGAATTTACAGCATTGTTTCGACTTCCTTTTGGCGGTAACATAGTTGTCGAGGATAGTGGGGTAGCACCCGAAATAGTTTAGTTCCGTTTGTGTCGTGATATCTGTTGAACAAAAAGGGGGCGCCCCGTGTCGTGGACACGGTCAAACAGAGGTATGAGGTGCAGGACTATTCAGGTGCTCCAACAATATCTTCATTTGTACTAGGGGATTCTCGACACTCCGAGATCGGGAGGTTCAACTCCTCACCCTACTCATGTAAGCAAGGACACCCTAACGTGTCCTCGCAGCATCCGCTCTTTTCTTCTTTTCTTCAATCAATTCATCCTATCTTTTTGGATTGGTTCCCCTTAGTAGATTAGCCCCATTCTTGCATACAATGCCATACTGTATCAGCTAGCTGCGACAAGATGCAAAAAGGGAAAATAAGTAATGTACTTCTGTCTCGTGCGATGCACGAAGAGAAGAAGCTAAGAATACAATAATATAAGCAAGAATAAGGGGCCCCTATCATGTGTTGTCATCGCAACCGACCAACACATATGTCGTCATAGACGGACTTGCATACATCACACACGCACGACTCGCATTTATCACACACCCACATTCACTAAATATGTAACTAAGAGTTACTTATCGCAACAGCTCGCATATTGTTCCCCACAGACAATGCCGAAAATCGTAAACAGCGCAAACGATCACAGAGTTAACGCAACCTAGGTACGTCACGAGGTTGCACATGGACATCTATTACAAATTAGTTAGGCACGTGGGAGGGGGAATAGCTCCCAGAGTTACGAGATCTTAATCCCTCCCAGAAGGTCTCAAGGAAGTCTATATATTGACTCATTAGAACATGACCCGCTGCTTCAATTATTCCAATGTTTTTGAATTTAACCTAAAAGGGGCTCAATTACATCGCTTTGTCAACTACCAATCATGTTTTTCGATTCTGCTGCTGAGGAGAAGATCGATGTCAAGACATTGCCGGGGTTCATCAGGGACAACCCGGACGAGTTCAAAAACATTTTCGTCCGTCGCTTCACCCACGTCAAAAATTTGGGATCTAATGTTCTCCATGAGTACCTACATGTGATTTTGGAGGACAATTCCACGGATAAATGGACTCGTGTGATTGTGGAACGTCAGGCTGGTACACTCGTGTGGGGTGAAGCTCATGATCAGGTGATCGTTCGTCGCTGGCCAGCCGGAAAAGGCTACAAAGAGCACGAGACCATAAAGCCTGGCTACTTTCCTTTCAAACTGGAAGTTATGATGAGCTCTGGTAGTTCAGGTGGAAAAGTTGGAGATTCGCCCCTACCTTTGGTAACCCGCTCCTTCCAGAAGAGAGACTTCAGCGTGGAACTACTTGCACAGTTACTATTGGAGTGCCACAAGGGCCAACCGTATTATACTCCTAACGAGTGGAACTGTTACTGGTTTGCGGCACGCGCCTTTGAATCACACAGAGTAAGAATTGGACGATTTGACAACAATCAGTGGAAGTATGCCAACTGGAAAGGAGATATATCGAAAATACTCTCCCCGGAGAGATGGAGTAAAGCTGTAAAGGTACGAGGTTTCATTTTTCAGCTGAAGGATCAGATTCTGACATTGTACAGGAAGCTTCTAAAGCTTTCAAGAACTTTCTTGGACACATTCCTATCGACAACCCTGGCGGTGGTCATCCCACCGACCATAAAGACCCCGACGTTTCCCAGGCTGATGATGTTTTCGTGGGTACTCTGAGAGAAGTACAGTCCCATATGTCCCTCGAATAATGATATACATGTTGATGATGAATTACCGAGCAGGAATTATCCAAAGAGTTAGGCGAGATAACTCAAGATGAAGAGAAACAGATGGCAACCGGTATTGCAGATGTAAGACATCTAACGTTGTGCTTCCTTTTCCACCTTCATTAACGAATTATCTTAGTACCACGCATCCATCGAGCAGTGTATTGCTGCCGAAACCGAGAGGGATGATTTTGAAGCAAATTTGGAAATTGGCAAGAAGATTGCATATGCACAAGGCTGGAATGTAGGTTTGCCGCTGTTAAGTGCTGGATCACACTAATGGTTTCGTTCTATAGCCTCAGGATAAGTCTGCACCTGACGAAGTATTCTTGGTGGGCCCAACCGAAGACCAGCTATCTCGGTTGGAACTATCCCTTTTCGCGTTCCTTGGACGAGTTGCCATGGAGCTCGACGGTTAAAATGTTTGATATTTCTGTCGACCGCCGAATCAGGTCTAGTTGAGGACTTCGACTGAGAGCGTCTCGATAAAGTTTTTTTACCACCTGGGTGGGTTTTTTTCCCTTTATCTGATGAGATCAGGTCATCTCCCTCGGATGTACTCTAGATAGATCCTGTTCCTTTCTTTCTTCCCACCTTTATCAATCCGATTTGAATCCACTATCCTGAACTTCTTTAAGTTCAACATAAATTTGCCACATAAGACCGACTGCTCATTTTTCTTGGGAGCCGTCTTATATATCTCAACTAGCCGCCAATCTTCTTTTTTGACAACTTCTTATAGTTCCCACTCCGATAACTCGTCAACGGGTGTTACGAAGGCACCGGATGTGTTAAAGGACACCCGATCTAAGCCCTATAGAGTAGCTTGGCGGCCGACGCTCGATGAAGTGCTGAATAACATCGCAACTCCACCATACACCCTCAGCGCATTCATGAACTATCTCTCCCAAAATCATTGCCTTGAGACACTAGAGTTTATCCTCGAATCGAAGCAATATTATGAAAGCTACAGGTCATTAGTCGAGCCAGCAAAAGAGTCCATTATGACAACCAACTGCTCAGCAACTATCGACCTGAGTCAGCTCGACCAGCTTCTCCTGACGACGTATATTCTCCCGGGAGCAGCCCGTGAGGCCAATATACCTGCCAAGGTACGGGACGGCCTTTTGCAAAACAAATCTACGTCAACACCACCTTCACCCGAGATCCTCGAACCCGCCGTGAGAAGCATTCGCGACCTAATGGAGGATACAATTTTCGTTTCATTCCTAAACAGCCCCTCCACATACCTTTACGAATGATACAGCGTTGACAGCATCGGATCAAAACGATAGAAGGTCGAACCTCTCGTGTAAGACCTCAGATAGCCAGCCGACGAAGCTAGTACAAACTAAGCGTCCGTCTGTTATGGCTCTCGGAAGGCCTTGATCATGGCCGCCTTGGAATTAATAGGCTGGTAGAGCGTCTCTCATGACTGCACATACGAATACCTCCAGCTATGCTACACTTACAAACAATATAACTTTGCGAGACCTGCTACGGCTGTTTTGGCAGCTCTAATTCTACTAGGATGAGCTCAAGCTCTTGGTAGCATGGTCCACTCAGTAGTCTAGTGAGTGTTCTTGCTCTTATATAGCCCGAAGCAGTTTCCTTCGGGCTAGCAAAGACAAATTGAAGTTTGCATACGGACGCCGATTTGTGATTTTGTACGTCACATGGAACTTGTTCGACATGAATACCTTCATCTTACTATAACTCAAGTCAGACTTCTCTTCTATCATCTAAAGCTGTATTTCTCGTTGGTCAACTAGGTTAGGCACGGCTTTTCCGTTACTAAACAGCCATACAGCCATATATTGGACTAAGCCCCTTGGCATATAATCCTTACTGCAACCCAAAACTATAGATTTCCATGACATACGAGAATCTCTGCTGACGCGCGCCACGGTTTTCTATTCCTTAGCTAATCCATGCTATCTTATGTAGTCACCCGCCTTGCGGCATTATCAGACCTCCCGATGGCTCCTGTCTTACGACACGCCACGGTTTTCCCATTCCTTCGCTAATTTGCCTGAATCGAGAATGAATGATGATTTTTATGTCTCCTCACAAAGAGTTTAGCAACACAGAGCTCTCTTCCAGATATCGTCAGTTAATGCAGAGCGCTATTCTCAAGAAGTCATGACGTGCTCGGGGGTGCACTCCATCTTTTGATTGGTCAGATGAACCACTCGAGAGACTCTTAAAACCTACGATTGTCTCTCCACATCTGCTTCTAGGCCCTTGTTAGGCATGGATATAATTTAATAGAGGAACCCATTTGCTCTTAGGTTCTCTCACTGACCCATGGCCTATTACCAGCTTGTCAGCTTTTCAGCTACCTATGCTTCTGCTGAAAACCGACTGTGCGTACATATTCAACGGAGCAATACATGCTAGCTAAGGTACTGTATACGACCATTGGATCACCAAAGAGTAGAATGGCCGGAAAATATAGCGTATAGGACATTGTTGATAGGGAGACACAAAGTCGATGGGGGATAAAAACTCTCCGCAAATTGAGTCCTCTGATTGGCTGGATCAAATGCCTGCCTGAAAATCAGGGCTGGGCGGCGGGTGGCAGCCCCAGCTGCAGCGGCCGGGACGGGTGTGACTAAGCAGAAGGGGGGGGGGGGGTCGCTACATCCAAGGGGGGTCGCTCTATCATCGCCCTTTCGGATATAGTAATTCCCTTTGAACGTCCACGTCACAGACGATATCATAAATTCGACGTCAGTTTCGAAGACTTTGTCAGAAGCTGCGAGACACTATTAGCAGTCCGACAGAGCAAGATGAAAAATATCATGAAGTCCTCGCTCGAATTTTGAAATCAAAGAAATCAAAAGTCATATTAAGATGTCATCGTGACGCGTATTGCAACGAATGGCTGAGGCACATCGACCAGCCAGGTGAAAACTATCAACTAAGTCGCAAAGAAATCTCCATTGTCAATGGCCATACCACAATCGTGTTACAATCTTTTCATCCATCATATCGAACGGCCCGTAACACCAGTCATTTAGCTTCTTCATATCACTTGCGTTCATCTCCATCTCCATCAACTATGCAGCAGATTTTAAGATACGTATTTGGACCGAAGAGCAGAGAAAAACTCTTCATACAAAGACATGATGAATATAGAACCCCATAGAACGGATGACATTTACTAAGAAAGATATAGCCAAGCCGTCAGCAATCAACAAGGACATGAGTGACGGTTTCTTGCGCCCCGCAGACGCACTGGTCATCCTCGCGAAAGCCAAAGGTCTTGGCGTAGGTAGACAGCCAGTTGTGGCCCGTGCGTATCTGTGTCAACAGGTAGTGTATTCAATATATTATTCAAGCAAAGAAGGATCAATAACCCTCGCCAGTTTTCCGAGGTAGCGTATAGCGTCGAGGTACTCTTGCTTCCCCGGAGCACAGATCCCGTCGCTGATCGCGGATAAAGAGATCTCGCAAGGAATCAAGAGAGCTCTGATGTGCATTGCATGGTTGATGTCACTCATCGACGACTCGCTTAGCAGTCTGCGGACGAGCTCGTTGTGCTTCTTTAAATCATCGATTATTTGAGCGCGACAGTCCTCCGCAAGGTCTTCCCCTCTTGTAAGGGTTGCAGATGCCCGGCAAAGTGACAACACCACCCCGTCCCTAATCGTTTGGATGTCGCCTATGGTCGATGGTGTTGATAGCTGAAGTCCTGACAATTGCTCATCTATAGTTCGTTGCTCGTTATTAAGATGGTTCTCACTCGCAAACCAATCTTGTTGTTCATTTCCGCGTAAAATAAGCCACGACATTACGTGGCTATATAGGGGTTCTTCTTGGACATGTTGTTCCCAGAGAAACAAGACAATTCTCGCGATGGTGAGGCTTCCAAAGTAGTTCGCACTCCCAAAAAGTTCTTTTAACGACCCGTATAACGCATTAAATGCGCTAATCTGCCTGCTACGGCTTTCTGACGTGGACTCGTCAAAAATCTAGGAAACCGCACCCTTGACGGGCCTTTATATAATTTTTTCAACTCTCGTGAGATGAGGCTCGCAGCTTCCCATGTCTCGTACTTATGAATGTCCTTCCGCCTTCGTTCACCCTTCATGAGGCATAGCTTCCTTATCTCTTCCGCTGTTTCTGGAAGAGCAAACTCGGACGTCAGTTCCGAAAATGCACCCACAAAGTGGTACATCAATAAAGCCCTGTATTCGGGCCTGCGGTCGGTATTATTCACGGCGCAGATGGGAACACCCAGGCTGTTTCTAGGCATCCATATTGACTATCGAGATGGCAAAGCCATTTTGCATCAGAAAGCATACATCAAGCGAATCCTTGAACGCTTTAATGCACCCAGCAACCCTGTTGCAACTCCCCTAGACCCCAAGCATCCACTTGTTGAAGCAACTGATGCAGACCGTTTAAGTGAAGCAGATTCATCAGAATATCGCGCTGCAGTGGGAGCGCTGATATATTTAATGATCTGTACAAGACCTGATCTTGCATTCGCACTTTCACGCCTATCAAAATTCGTGCAGAAACCGGGTGTAAAGCATGCAGCAGCACTTAAACGATTGCTTCGGTACCTGGCTGGCACCCAGGACCTAGGCATCGTCTTCAGCAAACCATCTTCCACCGAACCAATCCTATATGGCTATAGCGATTCCGATTTCGCTGCAGATCTCAACAATCGACGCTCGACTTCCGGCTTATATTCCTTCTGAACGGTGGCCCGATAGCCTGGAAATCGAAACAGCAATCCCTAGTCACAAGCTCGACTCATGATGCTGAATATGTTGGATTAGCAACTGCATCATTTGAAGTCATTTGGCTTCGTAAACTCATCCTTTTGATTCTGCCTCAGTATGCAGAACATTCAATGCCCTCCAACATCATTTATTGCGACAATCAAGGTGCTATTGCAACTGCAAATCGACCTAGCAATTCAACCTCCCCACGATCGAAACATATCGACATCCGTTTCCATGTTATTCGCGAGGCTATTGCTAATGGCCTTATTCGACTCGAATACGTTCGTACGGCAGATATGACTGCAGATATCCTGACAAAGGCCCTGCCTAAGGAATTGCATCAGCGTCATGTCAAGGGAATGGGAATGGAAGCGATATGATGGAATTGGGATCTATGTATCCGAACTGGCCTGGTTTCCTCCATGGTTTTGTCCCACAGGGTTTTGCATGGAGGTTTTCCCCCAGGACTGCCTGTATATAGCTATTTTGTCTTTCTTTTGACTCACCCGTGATCTAGTGGGAGGACCCTAGTCGTTTCTGACGCCTTCGGTAGAGATCTCGGATGAGTGGGAGTGCCAGCGTGCTGCATCCGAGGATCTTCCTCCGGCGTGGATCAACTACAGTCCGGGAGCCACGTGACCACCATCAGGGGGTCATATACTCCATTCTAGCTTAGATGACCAATAACAACACACATCTCCCTAACAAGTTGAATTGTGTCATGTGACCCATGAGTCGAATTGGCCACCGACTAACTACGTCGTTATACCTCATATACCAGGCATCCACGGGTGCTGATTAGCCTGTGTTTGCGCTAGTAACTTTCCAATCTTTCCAATTCCACACTAGAATAACAATCACACGTGACATTACCGGTCGGTTGCGTCAGAGCCGCACCCGCTCCGGCTGGTGCCGGGCGAGCTTTTGAAAAATTTGAGGGGTCATCGGCCCTTTATGAACCGCAAAGTAACTTTTGTCTCAAAACCGTCTATGACAACACTTGGCACCTGTGGGTTTCTCCTGTACAAGGAAAGGCTATAAAATAGCGTCCAGACCCGCTTGGTGAACGAGTCCCGTTCTAGGCGTCCGCCAAATCTGCCCGCTCCCGCCCGCCCCTGCCTGTCCCTCCAAGGCTCCTCTTCCTCCTTTCCCTTCCGTCGTTTTTGTCACTTTATTGCCGGCGGAATCCATGAAATCGACTCCTCCGCTGACGCAGCATTCGTCTTCTAAGGGCAATCTGCATAGACTGCCATGTCATCATATTTGGCGGATTCTAACAGCTGATGAGAATGACATTGGAGGGGCGCAGCAAACCGATTTTTGTTGTCACCATCACTTTCCTATGCGTATCGTTTATCGCGGTCGCATTACGATGCTTTGTCCGATTAAAGCTCGTGAAAGCCTTTGGATGGGATGACGGTTCGATGGTGTTTGTAATGGTAAAAGACATGTGCCTATGACCTTAAGAAAGAAGGGTCTTGTTGACATCCATTAAATCCTAGGCGTTGAATATCTGGTTCGCGACATGCGGAATAGCCGGCTCCATATATGGTATCGGTAAAAAATTTGACGAGTTCGACAGCTCCGCCGAAATCAAAAGAGCACTCTTTGTGAATTTCCCCAAGATTATCCACCCAACGATCAAAGTCTCTTGCTGACAATAACCACATTAAATGTAGTGGTGGTGGCTTGGTCAGTCAGCCTACGTCTGGGTGGTGACAATAACGAAAATCTCCGTCGCAATGTCAATCCTCCGTTTCACAATGCGACAGCTTCACTCTGCGATCATGTACGCTATCATCGGTGTGACAAGTGCTATCGACATCGCTTTTTGGTTTGTCCTTATGTTACAATGCCAGCCTGTCAGAGAATTTTGGCAACGAACCGGGCAAGGACACTGCATCAACACAGACTACGTCATCAATGTTGCATATCTCTACAGCGCGACTGCCTGTATTTGCGATTTCATGCTTGTAGTGACTGCCGGACATCTTTTGAAAGATCTACCGATGACCCGGCGGACCCAATGGGGTTTGACTGGAATTATTAGCATGGGTTGCATGTACGTTTATGATGTTCGTCCTAATTCTGGGACAAGACTGACGATTCCTAGTGCAAGTGCCGCTGTCGTGGCCCGCATTCCTTATCTCCACAATTACAAAGATTCCGATTTTCTTTGTGAGTCACGTTGTATAGGAGACTCCGACATATTGAAGTTCATCTAACAGATGTCTCCCTTCTAGATGCCACTGCTAACATTTCTATTTTGTCCAACATTGAGGCTGGCCTTGGCATCACTGCTGGAAGCTTGAATACGGTCCGACCGCTTGTTCGCTGGTTTCGTGGCATCAGCGACGGCGAATCACGCAGTGCTGGTAGCACATCAGGTAATATTATTCACTGCAGCTTTAGTGGGACCCGAAGCCATCCCCTCAGGGTGAATTCGAACTCATCAGAGTATTGGCGGCAGTGTATTGAATTTGGCAATTCCGGTTACCTCACTACGGCGTCCCGAAATCAAATGCGCCGAGGCAATAGTCAAGAACTATATCATGAATGTTTATAGTGCGCAGAAGTCTTTGTACGTTTCGATTAACGGCGTCCAGAAATTAGCAGGTGGCCATTCCAACAGGCAAATTGTGGCAGGTGACCACAACACCACAACGCCCGATGGAGATTATTTTAGTATGATTAGAAAGCCCGCATCCGCCAGTCTCTAAAACCATTTTTCTTTCTACATATTATTGAAAGTTGGTGGCAGGAAAGGTGAAATACTCTCAGCCAATAGAAACTCGAACGAAAAACCCGGACGAAGGTCACGTGGTGGGAATTTCGAGACACGAAACACCAGCGCCACAACGCTTGTTGTACATTGAATTTGGTATCATTAAATTCACAATAGTGGTCTGCTTCCAAAATTCCTCTGTCTTTTAATCACCCTCGAAGATGGTGGCAGGATAAGGCAGATAATGTTTCAGCCAATAGAAACTCGGACGAAACCCAGAGTAGGTAGTCACGTGCCATTCCCTCTACTGACAGGTAGACCTCGCCAAACGTGCACGGGTTTGGGTTGGGTTTTCAATTTCTTTACCCGCCCACGGGTAACCCATCGCGGGTTTTGACCTTTGTTGATTTGTAAGTGACGCTTCAGTGTTCATGTTGTTGAGGGGAGTTTTTTGTGTGTGGTGTTGCATGTATTATCTCAGATACAAGTAGGCTGAGAGACAGGTATATATGTATTAGCCATTTCTCTCACATCAGAGGGCCTAGGGGCTGCACCACGTGAATCCATAGAGAGTATCCACTGGACAAGTGATTCTTCTTCATATCTACTCAATTTGTGACTATTGGCATGTGTATCCACTCGATATTGGTGGCCGTTGACGCGGTCTCGAAGTGTTGAGCGCGGTATCTGGTAACGCGCTGCGATAGTGCGTATAGAGTCGGTAGAGCCATTCTGAATATCTCTGATAGCTAAGAGGATTCGGCCTTCCTGTTCAATCGAGTTTCGGCTTGATTGAGCGTGTTTTGGTGGCATGGTGAGTGGTTGAAGATGGTGGGTACGCGTCGGAACGCGTTTTCGGTCGAAGTGGGCGGTTCGCTTGGGTGGGCGGCTCGCTTGGGAACTAGGTTAGTTGCTGGTGTGATTCAAGCCATGCGAGTGGCATATAGTAGAATTATCTAATATCCCACTAGAGACAGATATATCTATGGAACATGTGCCTTCTTGCAGAGGCCTCGGACTCCCGACGGGCAAAGAGTCGCAGTTAATCTAAAAATTAGTCGCCAAGATTCACACTCACACCTTCCCATTAGACCTTCCTATGCGCAAATCAATTATCCAAACAGCTAGATAAACTAGGAACCCCCAACGCCCAGGGATTCCTCCATATCCTGATCATCTGGGACTGGGCTCGACATAGGCAATCCTTATACCTGCACATCCTGCACTAGTAATGAGAGCGTTACAATGGTAGATTGCTGGGCATCTTGGCATTGCATCCGGCGAATTACTTAATCAAGAAGATCGTTGCCTAAGACGATATTTTGCTCTATTAAATCTACTCGTTCTCCGTCAAGGTCCGGCATATCTCTTGATCAGGGTTTGAAGATGCAGATGGAGATGGAGTTGAGCACGGAAGACCGGCGGCGATGGGCATCTTCTCCATCTCTCGGTATGTTTTAAAAGGGACTCTTTGCTCCCGAGTTGAGCATTCATCTTTAAATCATTCCTGACCACAATCATGGGTTTCCTAAACCTCCTCACCACGTCCCTTGCGACTATGGCAGTCGCCAATGCCGGTAAGCTTCTCACTGCCAGTGATACCGCCGCGGTCATTCCTAGCTCCTACATTGTTGTCATGAATGATGGCGTTAGCAACGCGGAGTTCAAAATCCACCGTGACTGGGCTGCAACTGTTCATGCTCGTATTAAGAGCCGTAAGAATGGGGAGTCTGGACCAGGGAAGCATTTCGACATCAATGGCCTAAAAGGATATAGTGCTAGCTTTGATGATAACACCGTCAAGCAGATTGCCAGTGACCCAGCGGTATAGTGTGCCATTACCAACGTTGATTCCTCAAGAGCATGTTGAATCTGACCCGCTGTTGGGTCAGATACGTAGAACCAGACATGATTGTGAACGCGACCGAGAACGTGGTTCAGCGTAATGCTCCTTCATGGGGTCTCTCTCGCATCTCTAGCAAGAAGCCCGATGCTACCGACTATGTGTATGACTCTACTGCTGGTGAGGGCATCGTGGTCTATGGCGTCGACACCGGGATTGATATTGAGCATCCGGACTTTGAGGGCCGCGCTGAATGGGGCACTAATACTGCTGATAATGATAACACTGACGGCAATGGCCATGGCACTCACACTGCGTCTACTGCGGTGGGAAGCAAGTTCGGTATTGCAAAGAAGGCCACTGTCGTTGCCGTCAAGGTCCTTGGTAGCGATGGTTCTGGAACTAATTCGCAAGTCATTTCTGGTATGGACTGGGCTGTTAAAGATGCAAAGTCCCGCGGTGTCACTGAAAAATCTGTTATGAACATGTCTCTGGGTGGCGGCGTTTCCAAGGCTATGAATGACGCCGCTACCAACGTCGTTAAGTCCGGTATCTTTCTCTCTGCTGCTGCCGGCAATGAAGCCCAGGATGCGAGTAACAGCTCCCCTGCTTCTGCTCAGAGTGTTTGTACTATCGCCGCTTCTAAAGAATCAGACGGCAGTGCTTCCTTCACAAATTTCGGTTCTGTTGGTAAGAGACCTTCCTCTCCCTTTGTGCGAAGCATGCTTTTTAGTCAGAGAAGCTTACTGACAGTTTTACTTTAGTCGATCTCTATGCTCCTGGGAAGGACATCACGGCCGCGTTCCCTGGTGGTGGCTCGAAGACCCTGTCTGGAACCTCTATGGCTGATCCACATGTTGCTGGTGCTGCTGCGTACCTGATGGCTCTCGAGGGTGTGACCTCTGATAAAGCTTGGCCCGTCTTGTCGAGCTTGCTATCTCGTCTATCTCCGGCGCTCCCTCCGATACTACTAGCAAGCTTCTGTATAACGGTATAGACGCTAAATAAATCGTCACATAACGTGACGGATGATACGGTATGGTGCCGGGAGTGGTCTAAGTATATTCTCGAGCGAGCTCTGGAAAAGCCAACCCAAATGAAGTTTATGCAGTATAATTCGCCCGAATCGGACCTTCCAGTAGAGTTTTCACTATAGAGTTCTTGTTCTAAAGTGACTCTTCTCAAATAAATACTTCTGCACTACTGGTTCTATTAACGATGGATCATTTAAGGGGCCAGAGTTGGATCTCAGTGTGATTTTAAGGTACCTGCTCCTCGGTTATCCTTGATGGTATATGATCAGTTGCGGAAGGTGTTTGGAGACACAGATCTTCGATACTGAAGGAGGGAGAGGGTGATCTATAACGGGGTCCGTTGTTCTTAGGTGGATACGTTATGCTGGTATCTCGTCGGTGGTGATCTCTGAAGTAGTTGTAAGATCTAACTATGGATTCCCTAGCTACAGACTCTTCCTGTATATTCTTAGAGCTCGAGGATGATGGATCCTGTCTGTTTTCTAGTCGGGGCAGCTGCTCCCTATATTTAGTCGCTTATTTTCTACACTTTTTTCTAATTACCCCTAGCTCTTCTGGGCTCTATTTAAACCGACAAGGAATTTATCTGAATTTTTCTGTAGGGGTTGACTACTTACTGAGGAATTGCTGATCTCTAGTTCTAGAGATACTCGCTGTATTTTACTATTGAGCTGTGCCTTGTCATAACTCTAACAGTAGGAGCTGATATATATTGAAGAGGGGAACGCTCGATGGCTGCACGCGCTGAGACGTGCGGGTCGATTCAGCAGAAAAACCACCACAAAACACACGCGTAGCAATCAGGGAATAGCGAGAACCCCAAGTGTAGGGGTCAGGTCGGGGAGGTGTAAGAAGGTGTATTCTAGATCTAGCTATCCGGCCACCGTATACTGCCGGCTATGTCACATAGCATGGATGGCACCCATGTAGTAGGGGGAGGGGGTCTCCCCACTACAGTAGGTAGTGTCGATCAATTCCCTATTAGTTACTGTACTCGTTATGAGTAATCACGTTTGTCATCATTTCATAGACAAACATCGACAGATTCAACGAGAACATATGTCGCCTCGACATCCACATGTGGGTCAGGCCGCACTCGATAAGAACTGATAAGCCCAGGCCGCACTGAATTTCTTGGCGTCTGTAATCAATTCAACCGAGTAGTTAAATAGTAAATTGCTCATGTATTATTAAATAGCACAGTGCCATGGTCGGGCGGGGGAAGTGCTCGTCTTTATCCTAGACTACGCACTACTCAACCATGGCAGTCTTTCTGGAAAACGACCTCGATGTCAGTGCAATAATAGAGAGGCAACTTGAGCAAGAGCTCTAACAGGACCTCAATAGTAGGGCAAATGCAGTTTCCCCTATCATCCAAGGGTCTCCTGAGCCTTCAGATGCAACTCCGGTACGTGAAACGAAGGGATATATTAACCATGCATTAATAATATATTATGTCTAGGAATTCCTTAAACCTATCCTACATGATAATCGTGCACCGCTTCGAACCCGCTTTATCGAGTATACTACAGCCCTCCCAGAGTATCCCCGTACGGAGCCTGATGGATTTACATATGTGATCAATGTGCCTGACGGGACTCGATTTGCGGTAGAACAGTCAATTGAAGGAGTACGTCAATACATCATTAATGTATTAACTATATATTAAACATCATCAGATCCAGTACTCGAGGAAGCAAGTCTATCGAAACCGCCCTACCCAGCGTGATTCGCTGCTTTGACAGAGAATCCCTATTCAACATAGTTCTTACAAATGCACAGGGGTCAAAACATGCGAATATACAGACCCTGGGCTAAAGCAAATGGTCCACTCGTATGTCACTGAGGATATCTGGCAACGAATTAGAGAGCTTCGCCAGCATATTACATTCCTCGATACTCTCAATCCTTTACAACCAGCGACATACAGGTTGTACCAAGCAACCATACGTTCATTCAAGATCAATCGGATTTCATGTACATCTTGGAAGGATACTTGTTCGCCCCGCGGCTAATGGGTTCAAGATGTGAGTAAAAGAACAATAATATATTCAAAATATATTACTGATCTACTCTTAGAGTGTCATTGGTGGATCTGACTTTTATATCTACTGCTCTAATGCATATGAAAGTCCAAGCTCTCACTTCCCATCATGTGTACGCCCTGACAGTGGTATTGACCGGGAATTGCTTCAGAAAATTCTTAATAGAGAGATCCAGGGGGAAATTCAAACGTGTGGTTATATCGACACAAATCGGCACCGAGGCCATTGTGGTAGGTCTGAATATATTCTGAATACAATCTAAATGTGTTATTAATGTATTATCATAGAATTTCATCATACTCGCGGGCTTGGTAAAATCAAGCACCAGAAATGCTCGGTTGAATTCCATTGGTTTATTCCAGTAGACCTTTCTTCCTCTCCTTTTTGGGTTTTCACCTCGACTGGCATTCATACGCATCCTCCGCCGCCTCCGTCAAAGCCTCCGCCAGCAATCGTAGACGGAATAGTACGTATAATTCGTCTCCGAAATGACCCTGGTTTGACTACAGGTATATCCCTTCTTGGCCCTTTTTTCTTGTCTAATCTATTAATAATGCATAATTAATGGATGCATATAGGACGTTTTCTTCTTAGCCCTGAGCTTCAGGATCTATGCAAGCGATTTAACAATAGCTCCTCGCTTCTTGATATCCATAGAAGCTTTGCGAATTTAGACCGAATTGGTGCCATTATTCGAAAGGAGAGGCTCCTACAGTTCCCATATAGGCAGGACACTAATGGTCTGATCTTTGAAATGGAAAAAAACCCTCCATTAAAGGTAATAGTGCGTTTACAATATATTAGGAATCTATTAACATTTCTCTTAGGACTACGTACAGCAAGTCTATATATATCCTGATCTTATGATTATTTGCTTTACTCCTGAGATGGCGGGCCTCTTCCTTGACTCTGACTCGATAGAGATTGATATGTCTTTTAAGAGGTTTAAGCAGAAGTCAATGCGAGAGGTTACGTTTTCAACGTTCATACCGGAGCAAGACAGAGGTAAATATCGTCGTGATAAAGGTGTGATATAATATTAATATATCATAGTTTTTACACTTGCACGTGTGATTGTTGTTTCTGAGACACATTCAACCTACTATCTCCTGTTTACTCGGCTTTTTGAGTGCATGGAGTGTGTGCTTAGTCGCCAGTTCTACTTTTATCCAATCCATCGTACAAGGCTACATGCCGTCGTTCTGGATATGGATACAAATCAATATGGAGGTGAGATATAAATCACATACTATTAATATATTACTAATATATTATAGGGCTTAGAGACTTCCTTGCTGATAAGAGTACTCTCCAAGTATCGCCTGATGACCTTATTCAACACTTTGTTGTCTTCTGTAGAGCACACTTCTACAGGGGTATTGATAGAGCACTTCGTGGGCAACAGGTCGCTCCTGGATGTAGGGAGAGGATGCGAGCAGTGATCGATATTCCTAATCGAGAGGAGTATACTCAAGCTTTAGACTGGATAATCGGTAAGTATACTTTAATCGGTTCTTAATAGGTTATTAATCTATTATCAGAGCATGAATCTTCAGTTGTCATTCAGCAATGGGCTCGCTATAAGAAACTTCCTTACGTTGCGGCAGCTTTAAATAAAGCTTGGAGTCAGATTCCTGATGTGATTTTCGAAGGACTTCGAAAGAACACAAATGCAGTGGAGCAATCGCATCATATGATCAATAGTACTGGTGTTCAGCTTTCACTACTACGAGGGGTCTTAAAGTAAGTTCCTCTTGCTTTCGCCCTAATATATTATTAGTACACTAATCAGATATTTCTAGTTCTTTTGCTCAGATACGAACCGCATGCAAGCTTACTCTATTCGCCAGGACATGGGAATTCGACAAAGCTATCGGATGAATGGTATTCATGCAGCATTTGATCTTCACCTAGCAAAGGGTAAGTTAATACAAAAGATATTACGAATATAATATTAATCGATTCTATAGAGCAAAAAAGGCACCAGGAGAAGCTATTAGAAGAAGAACTCAATCAGCTCGAGGACTCGTCTAGTATAGATGAGTTATTCACACCTGATGAATTGAGTGTACGGTATACGACCTCTGGTGTACCGATTTCTCGACGTTCAGCTAGCGTACCAAGGAGATCTAGTACTAGATCCCCTACAGCTACTCCTCGCCGAACAAGAACACCTACACCAAGGTTAGTACTCTATGATGTTTAAGGATATTTTATTAATATATTACAGAGCTCAAAGCCTACAGCGAGTTGCCTCTGACAATTTACGACAAGAGTATGATAGTCTTGCTATCCAAAAGCTTGAACATCAGCTCCGAGAGGAGGACTTAAAGGCACAATTGCTCGAAAAGCAGCTTGCTAATGGTAAACGGCAGCAAGAGTTAGATGAGATAGATAGACAGGTAAAGCGTAGGTAGGTTAAAATATGCCCACTTGTATTAACTCTTACAATTTTGGTCAAGGAATTAAGAATAATTGTAAATTTATGCTTCTTCCTCGAGACGCTCAAGCGTCCACATCCCAAAAGCGAGAATGATACTCGCAGGTGAATGGGGCAGTACCGCATTCTATTATGATATATTAGCAATGCATTAAGGATATATTAAGAATCGCTTACTGATATTAGCAGTGATACAGGCGTTGCAGTCATCGTGTATATGCTTAGTGGCGAGGAAATCCCTCACGGCTTTAACCGAAATCTACAATATATTAGCAATCTGTTCTCAATAAATCAGAGATAACTTACCTTCCGATTCTTGCCTTTACCCTTCGTGAAGGGAAGTCGCGGCTTCGTAGAGATACGGGCAACAAGAGCAGTGTACCAAGCTAAAATCATATATTAGTAGTATAACAAGAATAAATTAGGAATGTGTTAATACCCTTGACCTCGTCCATCTCCTTGATAGCGTGGCGGCCCTTACTAGCGTACTTACCAGAGACCGTCACGCCTTGATGACCGGTGAGGTGCGTCTTGAGGTTGCCAGTCTGAGAATACTGCTTCTGATAATACATTAGTAATAGATTCAGAATATTTAAGATCATATAGCATACCTGGTGATCGCAATCCTCGAATCGACAGAAAAGCTCTCCAGGAAGAACAATAACGCTACAATCATCATCCTAGAAATGCATATTAGTCATATATTCAAGGTCAATATTAGGATTTTTTAGATGCTTAGATGGCGCATTCAACATATATTTCAATGCCCAGGACAATCAGAAACCCCACTCAATCAGAGATGCTTCCACTCACCTTCTCATACGCGGGTAGTTCTAGCATACCGGCCTTCGCATCCGCCACGTATTGCTTGTATGGGGCGGGGGACTCCGGGAAACGCACCATCTTGACTTAGGGACCTGTACGGTGTAACTAGGAGTCGAAAATAATAGATTAATAATTTGTTCTTGATGAAAATAGGCGGGGAGTTGGGAGGGCTCACGATTGGTGGAGAGGAGGAGGGTGTGGTGATTGAAATGGGTTGGTATTGCCAAGAAGTTCGTATTTGACCTGACCAATCATAATGTCTTACTAATCAACCATCTACACTCGGAAAATATATCTTCCCACGGAGTGCGGCCTGACCCACCTAGTATTGTCGGCCTGACCTGCTTCCTGTAACGGGACGGTGTTCCACCCACAGATGTACTAATCCTATCTTGGAACTAGCGCAGATCCTAAGTGGGTATCGGGCTGAACAGAGAGGCCACTGCGATCCTTCCTCCAACCACTCCGATCCTCTCTATGATCAGACAGACTATCGCGACCCCAACCTGACAAAACGCCTTCAACATGGAGACCGTGGAAACCGTGAAAGAAATGCTTGCTCGACCCCTGCCCGCGCTCATCAGCCCAAGAGGCACGTCAAACCCATCAGACTCCCGCACCATCATAAACGTGCGGCTGTTTCATGAGTGGAGCAGGTTTGGGGCAGAAGTGCGGCGCATCCTGGAAGAGCTCGGCCTTGACCAGACTATCCTGCAGATTGATGACTCGAAAGACAAGCACTACATTGTGGGTAATGAACTCGGCCTGACTGGTCGATTCTGTCGGCATGCCTGCGATGCCGTCTCGCGAGCACTGGCCACCACTGATCTGAGCATCAGATTTGGCGATCGCCAAGCCGCAAACCTCCCCGTCTCCGATATTCCGCCCGATGTGGTGTTGTTGAAAGGGGACAACCCCCGCTATCTTCGGCCAGTTATGGTTATTGAACTCAAGACGTTCTGGACCGTTAATTTGGATGTGGATTTGGACAGCCCTCAATGGGAAAGAATTGCGCCACTACAGTCACATCTTGGTAATATGAGCCTCCATATTTACGAGTAACAATTTGCTAACGAATGTCTAGGCCAGGTAGTATGTCAGATGAGAGACAACAATACCCGATACGGCGTTCTCTCCACCTACGAATACACCTACTTCATTAGACGAGAAAACGATTGTAGGTTTTTGATAAGTCTCCCGATTAGACGTGATGCAACCGAGCCATCTTTACGGCAGTGTATGTTGGCGGCCGCTGTGCTCGCTTGCCAAGCTGGAGCATACGAAGAAGACCCTAAGTTTGAGGTACGAATGGTATGTTGGAAAGCATTCTTGGTACCAAATCGCTAAAGTATACCGACAAACCATACATGGGCAGTTACAGCATGGCACAGGGGCACAAGCTTCGGACCGACCCTCGCACCTCCGCAGACACTCTGCCTACCGCCCAACTGGCCAGGGAAGTGTTGTTGACATTCCGACATTCGCTGTAACCAGTCAAACGATTCTCTTTGGTGATATGGAACAAGTGGCGACGAATTATGTTGATGTCGTCAAGTGCATACAAACTGGAGACCGGAAGTCAATATTTGAGGTTATTTGGGATGGGCAGCCTGCAGTTGCTAAGTGTTGGGTGGAATCCGAAGCCCAAAGGTTTGAATGAACCCCCTCCGAACTCTGGGAGCCGAAGCTAATATAGGGGGCTTTTATAGTTACACCAACGAAAGGGTCATCTACGAGACGCTGTCGGAGAAAAGCCCGAGAGGCTATTCGTTTTTCGCCGATTTCTATACTGCAGGATTGATATGCTGTTCGTCCGTGTTTTCGACTGGGAACATACTGGTGATTCAGAAGGTGAAAGGGGTGCCACTCCATGAGAAATGGAATTATTTGTCGGAGGAGAAAAAAGAATTTGTTTACCACCAGGTTTCCCAAGCTATACAAGCACTTCGGGGGACCGGCGTGCTCTGGGCCGACCCAGGCATGCACAACGTTCTTTATGATGATAGTGACGGCCATCCGACTGTCACCGTGGTCGACTTTGAACGAATCCAGCTACATGAAGATGAGCCGTTGCTCTATCCCACTGAAATGGCGAGGATCTTTGGACGAGAGGCGGTAAAGCGACGAGCCATGCCCCGATATCCCGGAGGATGACTGTGGATGGGATCACGTTGGTCCGGTTTTTGAGAGTTAGAATTTTCTAACATGCATTTTTATATCAGTGACAGGGGGCCCAGTCCGACTTTTCTGGCGTTTGTCTTTTATTGAATACCGTTAGATAAGAATCCATTAGCTCTATTCTCTATAAGATCAACGCTTGTGAAATATCCAAATCCCATAGACCGTAAATGAAGGTGGAAAATTCGCAAGAGCCATTGGTTATGCATTAGCACCAGAGATCGGTGATAGCGTTACTTTATGCAAAATATCGGGATGAAACATAAGCATGAATATATACTTAGTATCTTCCCTAGATTGCGGCATAGCCGCTCCATTGGATATGAGATCAATACCATATCCGCAATGCTGCGGATATTGGATATCACTTCATATCCATGTCCAAGTTGAGGATATCCGCACTAGCATAAAACTCGTTTAATTGTCTGAAAAGAGATAGTCAGATTGCCTTTGGATAGCATAAAATATTCTCGCTTAGGTTGAAAGAAATACATGTTTGGTCTTCACCATATCAACAACCCAGCTCATCCCATCGCTTAATGGAATTTTAAGAAATGATCTTGTATCTATTAATTGATAATAAGTTTCTTATATGTTGTCGCTTTGAATTTAGTGATTATTTTGAGATTGGATACGATGAAGCACTGAATATTGAATAAGGGCCTGCTAGACGAATCGACCTTGATGGAATAGAACTTGATTGTATCGTGTTAAACTGTCTACATACGATTCTGGGGGTATTTATCCCTGAACGGGCGGCAAGCCCCTGACAGTACTAAACCCCTATTATTGGTCTCAATCGGAATTCTTCCATGAAGATCCCCTGAATTTAGAATATAATGTCGCACAAGAGCGTTTGAAGTGCATATCAAGCTCAGTGCCCCGGGTTTCCCTGAACAGGCATGCCGACAGAGGTTGGGAATGAGGCATCAATTCGGTGCCTTATCCTGGAACCTCAACAGATTACCTCTGTACTGGGGTTAGAATTATTTTTTGGTAAGTTACCGAGTGATTATATATTTCGCAGGTGTGTTCGTATATACCTCCTGTCCATCTTTTTGTTAGACGAAAAATACTTAAACAAAAACATAATTCCATTATTTATCGGGTTCAATTTAGCGAGCAAATTATTCATCTAGGTCTACAATACTTTTTAACTAATTTTAAAAAAATATTTGCTTATAAAAACCTAGAGAAACCACAGTCGGAAGTCTTGACTCTCGGGACTTAGCGATATGGCTTCCACTCCTGCGGATATCCAACGGATATCCGCACTAGTAGTTTATCTAGCCAATCATCAGGACACTAACCACAAACACATATTCAAGTCGTGAGTTTGTGCTCTGTTTGTGACACACCTGAAATTCTTCTCCAGCCCCATATGTAAGCTTTCCTCTCTACTCTTCCAAGTCTCTCCCAATCTCTACTTCAACAGACAACTTATAGTCTATTGAAATATGTCCCAACTGTGACGGATGACCCTGGGAATAGCCTCGTCTCGTGGAAGGATGCCTGAGGCATAATATTGGGTCGTTTGCACAACGCGTTTGCTGGGGAATTAACCCCTCTTTTTCTGGCGGACTTTTTTCTTTCTCTTTCCTTCTTCATCTTCGAGATTCTCGTAAGTAGGCACCGAATGAATCTGTTTCTTTCGAACGGCCCATAACAGAACCTCGGTGATCTCACCGGGAATCAAATCTGCGTCAGAAATCCCTCGGGAAACTATGCCATTCCCGCATCCATTTCTTCGGCGTCTAGCAGTGCAACCGACTCACAGAGTATTGTCACCACCACGGCGTAAGTACTCTTTGCAGGTAACGGCCAGGTGATAACTCGACCATACTCATTGAAAAAATTCCAGCCCTGTTCCTTCGCCAACTGTTTCCGGTACGAATACCAAGTGCGCCAAATACTATCAGATTGGAAAGGACGAGACATGCAACACTGTGGTAGAGAAGACCGGTATTTCCAGATCTGACTTGTCAGCCTCAATATCGTCACTACATGTTGAAGCAGTTAACTGACCATGATACAGCCTGTTTCTGAACCCCGAACTCAACACACAGTGTACAAACCTCCAAAAGAAGGTCTACTATTGTGTGCAGGCGGTTGGAGACATCACAACGTACTCCGGTCATCCAGGAAGCACATCAGATAACTTCAGCAAAGTATCCATGACCTCCGTTCCTTCATCCGTTCCCAGACCGGACTACTCCGGTGCTTTGAAGAACAACTCGCACCCCGTCGTTCAGCTTGCCACTGATACGAGAAAGGACTGTTATGAGTAAGTGCAACGTCTAATCTTACAAAGCCTTCGCTCATCTTTGTATAGCTATATGTGGCTGGACAACACCACAGATAACGCGCTCGCAGATTGTTGGACAATGGCCTTGACAAATGAAATTTCCGCGGAGGTTGGTCTTCGTCTCTCCCGATTGAGAACCTCGCTTCTGGAATGCAAGCTGACTCTCGAAGGACTTTATTCTATGGAACCCTTCGCTCTAAAAGAAGTCATCGCATAGCAGTTCGTTAATCCCGCTGGCAGCCTCAACTGGCAGCACCGGCTCGAACTCGAGCATTGCTTCAAACTCATACAACTACCCTTGTACACTTCGAACCAGCTCGTCCTACTGCGTGCAGCTCTCCAATCCTTCCAGTACCGCGGCAAGCGGGTCGCGAACCCCTTCGTCAGTTGCTGCATCGGCCACTCAGACTCCTTCGAAGTCTACGAGGAGTGAGTCCATGAATCTCAACTGGTTTCGCATCTGCTAACTCATATTTTCCAGGTGCTTAACTGAGTCGAAGGTGCTCTCTGACGAGGCAAGAGTGAAAGCAATTACAAGAGTGTAGACTGCAATTTAGTTTGTCTCGATTGTTTCTCCTCGTGGGCAGCATTCCCACAACATGTATCTACTACTAGCCAGCTTTCTTCCGTCTCCATATCATACATTTTCGAAGAAGTTGTCAGTTCTGCCGGCATCGTCAGAAATCAGAATAGAAATGTTGAGATCAGTATTCAGGAGGGTAATAACCCTCCTTGCAGATGTTTAGCTCTCTCAGGAGGTCACCGTCCACATTCGGACGTTCGAAATTGGGCTCAAACACATCCTTCATGACACCAATGCCAAGTGGAAGTTGAAGAGGGTAATCCTTTTCAATGGGGTTTTCTCCCCCATTGTAAAGGAAATCCTGTACCTCATTTTCAATCCATTTCCCCCTTCCGGGTTCGTGTTTCGACATCCGAATTGGAAATCCGATTGCGACCTTCGGTTTCGAGGTGGCATCTCGGCCTCCCCACAGCGTGTTCTCGGATACCATTTGGCGTATTTCTTCCAGCATGAGATACCAGCCTCCAGCATGATGAAATTGGAGCATACTGAATTCGATCGAGCGAACGGATTTCGGTAGAGCTTTGAGGAAGGAGATGCAATTATCCTGTGAGATAACAAAGCCGGCGAGTTCAAAGTGCCGCAGATTCGACCATTTTTCCACCGGGACAATGCTCTCTAATGGGATCAGTTGGTATTTATCCTTCTCATAGAGCGCTTCTGAGAATGTTGTATGTAGCCTGAACTCCTCTATTTCTTTTGCTTCACTAAGTGCGCGGCGGAGACGTCCATTGAGCAAGGATCGCCAGCACGCTTGAAGCCCTGTCTGAGATTCTTCACCGACAAGCATGGTGATATCCAGACGGCGAAAGCCCGGGTTTTTCAGCACGGTAGCGAAATGATCGTACTCCTGACAAGGCTCGTCAAAGATTGTGCAGTTGATCCCCGTGGACAGAAAGTGAGAAGTCAATACTAGTTCAGAAACAGCGTTGGGTTCGTTGGCGAGAACGCGCATCGCTATGCGGAACCCGCGGTAACGTTCTTTGAGTTCGGGGTATTCATTCCACGCATACGCATTAGCAGGCTCCGAATTAATTCTCGAATACAGCCAGCCACGTGGGATAGGATAATTGAAACCCTTCGGGAAAGCGCGGATCATAGGGGTCCGGTACAACGGGGCGAAGAGATGGCCGTGAGCCGCAGGAGTGATGGTGACTCTCCTCAGAGAAGGAAACTGCTTGACGCCATACAAGAATGCTTGTAAGTCACTGTTATCGGCGATAACATCCTTCTGCTGATTCAGTAAATGCTGGTAATGTCCCCAGCATTCACTCAGCGGAGGCTGGGCCAAGATCTGTTCTCTGCGCTCGAGATGGTCGGGCCTGTCCACGTCGCGATTTTTTCGCGACTTTAGAATATCGATGTTTTTCTCGCAGGCCTCTTTGAACCAGTTCGGACATCCGTTCTCCTCCTCGTCTTCATGTCGCTCGAGCAACTCCTCTTGGTAAAACTCAGAGTAATGCTCGGCCCACTCTCTGCTGTTATCGGGCTCATCCTCGTCCGAGAGCAATTCGTGGCCATCGTGGGTTTCGGGTGTTCGCGGTGGGCCCCTTGTCAAGCACGCCTCGTCCCAGATGATCTCAGTCACCTGGTGGCGGAGCTTGTCGTGTGATGCAACCTTGCATAAGACCTCTATGTTGAGTGGGTTGGCGGATAAGAAAACACGGTCGAGGCGAAGAAACACAGCGTTGTTGAATTGACTACATGCCAAGCGAAAAGACTTGATGTCGGTGTGGGATAGATGTGACGATATGTAGCCCCAAAGCTCAGGGGGGAGCTCGGGGAGACTGGTATAAGCCATGATGTGATAATGTAGAGTTGTTCATGGAACTCCATCTTGATATAGTGGGGGGTAGGTACATTTAATACCAAGCCACTGGCAAACCCCCCCCCCCCCGGCGGTCCTGACCGCCCACGTTCACCCAGCTGTGCGGCCATTGTTGTGCGATCGTGCCCCGCAACAGTCTGGACCCCACCCATCAAAATCCATGGATCCGTGCTTCCATCGCGTTTGCAGTGGAGACAAGACGGTTGGCTCCTGAAGGGTGAAGAGGAAGAAGATCTAAATCGGACATCTCGCATGTGGTAACGCTATCAAATGTATATATCCTATGGAGCAGTGCACACGAGCTAGGGGGCTACATACGACCTAAGGTCGTGAAAAGCCTGAGGAATTAATAATATTAATAATAATAATAATACGGTGACCTGTGTTCTGAACCTGCTGGGCCTTCGGGATACCAAGCCTGAGGCACAAAGGCAGTGCCTCGGATTATGCATGCCCGGGGCATCAACAGGAAAATAGCCTCATGACAGGAATATCATAACAGTCGGCACTTAGATTAGCCTAACTCAGTGCCCAGTAATTATCTTCGGCCGCTAGCATTCCGCGATACCCTGATCGTAGTAATACCGAAAGCTGTCCAACCCCCCTCTCTTCTCCATAGGACTAGTGTAGCCACGGCTAAACGATGATTCCTATGACGTTTAACGGCGACCCTGGATACACGAACAAAGGCAGAGATTTAAATCGTTTTCGCTGCGAATTGAACGCCTATCACAATCTCCGTGGATTCGGCGTGTGCTACCGAGGCTTTGTTCCCGCTTTTTACGGCCACATCGATCGAGTTGATCGGTCTACTTCCCCCGCCCCCCCAACCAACCCCCCGGCTTAAGCATCTCGCCGACGATAAATATCAACTCAGGGCAATCCTGCTCGAATATTTGCCGTGTGCTGAAAGACTAAATCGCAAAAATCATTCCGAAGATCTTTTTTGCTACGCAGTTGAGGGCATAAAACAGATCCATGACGCCTGTCCGCCACCATGATATTTACCCGAAGAATATGCTTGTTGTATCTGGTACAAGGATTGTATGGGTTGATTTTGATGTTGCGACAACCTTCAGCAGCATGGGCCTTTGCGAGAAGGCATATTGCGATAAGACCGAACTTGTCAAGAGTTTTGGAAAGCTTCTGGTTTGTGTCGCTTCCTGTACTTAAACATCGTTACAGTAACTAACAAAAACCATCATCAGAACGACGACAAAAGACACGGTCTTCCACCCAATACAAAGTATTACTAATTGGACAGCCACAAACAGAACAAACCGAACTGGCACAATGTTAAAACGTGAGACGGGTATTGCACAGACACGCTCTTTAGTACGAGAGACAATCATATCTTCTCTATTGTTATACCTGAATGTCGGAAATGGCCTTCGGCACTGTCCTGTTTCGCACCAACATCATATACGCACCGCCGAAGGAAGGCATGAAACCCTTGGCCAGGATTCTCTTCATATGCTGACCAAGTTTTCTTGATATAGGACTTCAGCTCGGCAAAAAATTCCTCGATGGGGTTGAAATCCGGCGAATAAGGCGGCAGGTACAGTAATTTGACTCCCGCCTCAGCACATAAGGTCTTGATCCGGGCTGAATGAGGGAAAGATGCGTTATCCATAACCAGCATGGATTTTGGCTCCGGCCACCTCCCACAGTGCTGCAGAAGCTGCTCGATAAACGATTCGAAGAACGTGGCATCGGTGGAACCTTTGAAAATACGGGACAGAATGATGCCGTCTTGAGCATATGCAGGAAGTATCTGGAAGCGTTAGCCACGATGAAATTTCGACACTTGGACTGGTGTCACGCCGAGTGGTGACCAGCCAGTTCGCCTATATCCAATCCTTTTATCACATCCGGATTCATCGACAAACACAAGATGATATGATCGAAACTCAGACAGTTTATGCTGGTAGGAATCTCGTAGTTGAGGGTCCTGTTCATTAGCTTTCTGTTGGGCTTTCTTTTTGTCCAGCCAGCCCGCGAAAGAGCACGTTTGATGCTGGATTACGATGGTAAAATGTTGAACTCATCCCATAGGAAGATAGCCATCTCTTCGACGTATAGGCCAGGCTTTTCGGCGAGGTGGTCAAAGAGGGCGTCAAGCATGATAGGAGCGATACTTGGTTGTTGGCCGACCGAGATTGGGGGAGATCTGGCACTACCGAATAACCGCAAGTTCTTGCGTATGTTAGTGATAGAACGCTCACTACACTTCGCCACCTTTGCCATCTGCGATGTAGTGAGTCTGTTCTTGCTGCAGATCATATGAACAATCATCTTACGCTGCCAGGAATCGATGTTCTTAGCCATTTTGTAAGTGGTTTGGGTGACTGCAGTTGCTAGGTTGGGAGGAGTGTGAACGAACGACGCCATGGTGGGGTCCTCCCGGGGCCCCTGCCCTCCAAAAAACCCGGGGGGGGGGGGGGTTATTTTTGGACATGTAACAAGCTTTATACTTTCGTCCATGTTACCATGCAAACCTGGAACAAACTTCTGAATACGAAGGTATCCGTATACAGTTTAGCGTGTCATGTGATTAGGGTTTTGTTGAACAAAAAGGGGCGCCCCGTGTCGTGGACACGGTCAAACAGAGGTATGAGGTGCAGGACTATTCAGGTGCTCCAACACGCCCCGTCTGCACCCATACTCTCAGGATGGGCCAGGAAAGGCGGCTCAAGGGCCCAGCGGACACTGTATGAGACTTATGAAACATGTGACAAATGACGGAAAAGAATCGCTCGAACTCAGGGTCGAACCTGCACCATGCAAGAGAACAGGCCGGGCTCATAACCTGTTGAACAAAAGGGGGGCGCCCCGTGTCGTGGACACGGTCAAACAGAGGTATGAGGTGCAGGACTATTCAGGTGCTCCAACAGGTTTGAAAATGTGTCTATGTTTCCAATACAGAAGGCAATAGCGGCCGGCACTGTAAATCTCGGAATCTCCTCACTTTATCATGTAGCGATATTCGAAATCAGTTTACCCCATATTCTTTCATCCATTGTTTCCCGAATCCTACCTCGAAACACACGAACCTAAGTTTGGTTACTTTCTCAACAATCCCTGCTCACCTGCAATCGTATCGGCTAACGGTAACAAATGAGTCATCGTTATAATACAGTAAGATCCCGCAGAATGTCGTAGGAATTTATATTTATATCCACATCCTGTTGCACAATTCTGCAGTGAACATTCCTATCTCTTAGAGCGGCTACTACAACAACTTAAGCGCTTTGCGAATATTCTCTTTTTCACTACGGTTGTTACCTAAATCCCCTTCATATTGTATGCTGCCAACCATGTCGGCACTTTACCGCTGGCTGGGCCCTCTTTATGACGCTCTCTTTTGCCCGTCCCTTTCATTCACACTTCGCTGGCGATTATTGGCGTTCCAGCCTATTGTACTCCTCACAAACACTATTCAGTGTCTCCCAACACTCGTCCGAGATAATTCCACAGTCATTTGGGTTCCACTCCGTACACAGGGCCATTCCATCCGTGCAATCGTCTATCCCCCACCAGAGACACCGACGCTAACGGGGAAGCGACTGCACCTCAACATCCATGGGGGCGGATTTCTCGGTGGTCTTCCGGAAGGAAACGCACTGTTTTGTCGGAAATTAGCCGCT